AGGTTTGATCCCTACACTTATGAATTTGGAGCCTGATTTAGTAAGCGGGAACACTATATCATCCACAAGTTTATACCGTTGGTTGATGATTTTTTTAACCTCCTTGGCTCGAATATTCTTTTCAAAGTTGTCCAGCAAGTTACATAAGGTATTTTCGAGTTCTTCATCGCCTTCGAAATCATCTTTACATTTTTGTGCAGACACGTCCACCGACGAACCCAAGATCGATGGAACCTCACTAACGACGGGATCCATAGATGAAATCAATAGTTTTTGATCGACAAGCAACGCTGCATCATAAGTACTTAGCGAATTCTGACGACAGCCTTCAGGAATTGGCTTAGGTTTTTTGCTCTTAGGCAGCTTCGACATCGAATCTAGGATGCGTTTCTCACTCACCATTTTTTCTAATTACAAAAAGTAAATTGATCAAAATTCAGAAAATAACTAAAAATAAATTCACTTACTTGCTTCAAAGTTATTTTCACCTAGGAGACTTCTTCAGGGCATAAATTATTTCACTAGGACAACTTCTTCAACGTAAAACTTCGAGTATAGAATAACATAAACACAACACTTTGCTTTTTCTTTTACAAACTAAATCGACCAACGAGACGACCTGGCGGTAAATTAGGGAGTGCAGGTAATTAGGACAGGTCAGAAAAATTATTAAGTTAATAAAAATAATTATCGAAAGAATTTGATATAATTCTTTATTAGCTAATTGATTACATTTGGTGGCCATCTTAGAGCGCTGGTAATTAGGACAGGGCGAGTATATCAAAATCATATTCAAAATTATAATCCATGATATAATATGTTTGTATGCAATCCGCATTACACGAATTTATTATTACCATACCCAACATATAAGAGGAAAAGAGATAGCTTTATTTTTGAGAAGTTATACACTTTTATAATGTTTTGTTAAGAAACTATGCGCATAAACATAGAGTCCTAAGGAATGCAAAAATGGAAAGTTTACGTACCCTACAATTGTACGAATGTCATTTTCAAAAATAGATTTCAATAGTTTTTAGAAGACTAGTGACATTTACTCAAAATTTAAGGAATGCAAAAATTGATTTCATTAATTTTTAGAAGAATTTGATACCAGTCTTGATTAGTAATTAAATGTATTTGGTGGCCATCTTAGATCGCGGAAAATTATACTAAAATATATAAGAGGAAAAGAGATTTATTTTTGATAAATTATAAGTAAAGAAATAAATATTTGAATATTTTTATTTAATTCATTAATTCATCTAAAGTAATTTTTAAAAATCGTAACGATAATTAAAAGGATATAAGAATTTGGTATTATTCTTGATTAGTAATTAATTGCATTTGGCGGCCATCTGAAAGCACAGAAAATTATACCAAAATATATAAGAGGAAAAGGGATAACAAAGGAGATATATATATTTCAATAATTTTATTTAATTCATTAATTCATCTAAAATTAATTTAAAAAATCATAATGATAATTAAAAGAATATAAGAATTTGATATCACTCTTGATTGTGACGTACACATTGACACAAAGGAATTCAAAAAAATGGATTTCATTAATTTTTAGAAGACTAAAAAGAATTTGATATCAGTCTTGATTAGTAATTAATTGAATTTGGCTGCCATCTTAGAGCGCATGTAATTATACCAAAATATATAAGAGGAAAAGAGATAACAAAAGAGATATATATTTCAATAATTTTATTTAATTCATCAATTTACCTAAAATAAAAAAAAGATAATTGAAAGGATGTAAGATTTGTTATTCTTGATTAGTAATTAACTAATTGCATTTGGCTGCCATCTTAGGGCACAGGAAATTATACCAAAATATATAAGAGGAAAAGAGATAGCTTTACTTTGATAAATTATAAGTAAAGAGAGATATAGTTCAATTATTTTATTTAATTTATTAATTCATCTAAAATAAATTAAAAAAAATCATAATGATAATTAAAATATAAGAATTTGATATCACTCTTGATTAGTCATTAATTATATTTGGATTAAATGATGTAATTAGCTTAATGGCGCTGGTAATTAAGACATCGCTAATTTGCCGCGCTGGTGATTAAGGGCTAAAGCGCTGGTGATTAAGACATCGCTAATTTGCCGCGCTGGTAATTAAAAAGCAATTAAAAATGCACTAATTGCCCTACCTTACTACTCATACGTAACGAAGTTGCTAGCATTCGTCCAAAAATTCCCATTAACTCACTACAAAATTTTATTTAGCATCTTTTTTACTGCCAGGAAATAAGTGGAGAGCATTTTGAGCAACTTTTGTAGAAAACAGAAATTTAATTTTGGTTTCAGTTGTTATTGGTCAATTTATTTGTTGTTTAATATTAATTAAAATTAATAATTATTTATTTATTTATATTTATTGTTAATAATTTATTTTGCCATTTCAATCAGAAAGAAAGTATGAATATGCTATGTCGAAGTTAGAATGTGGCTCCGTTGTGTGGTCTCCTGATTACCCCAATCACTGTCTGGAACTAGTGAAAGTTCAAAGAATTTTTTTTGAAATTTCTGTATTTGAAGTCTTACGGCCTTTATCCGGAAAGAGGTTTTCCCCAAAATGATCTTTTGAAAATCTTCTACATACAAAGCCTAGAATCTCGAAGGCTAAGCATTTCATTGTGTTTTCTTCATAAGCTTGTCAACGCCAACGGTGTAATCGATACCAACATTTTACTTGGAAAAATTTCGCACTGACCTTTAACGCATTTAATGAATGCATGAATGAACGAATGATAATAAGCAGCAAAAAGTCGGTTTTACTTTTAACTGAAACTGAAAGTGTTTACGTCGTTTTTATTCGAACGTTTTTCCACCTCTGTTTACAAGATGGATCAGTGACTTCGTATCGAGGGTTCATGGGGGTTTTGCCCCATTCGATTTTTAATTTGTTTTTTTTTTTTATATTTCCACACTACTACGTTACGTAATGCTGTGGTTAAAATTATTGCATATATTTCGAAATTATTTTGTATAATATGTACACATCGTTTATCTAGATAGGTTAAATAAACTGTGACTTAAATCTCTGCTTTGAGGCGGCAAACTCATTCAAATCAAACTAAATTCTATGTGACATTCTTTCAATGTATAAACATAACCATTTCAAGACGTCTAAGGCTGAGAGAGGCCATTTTTACTTATTAAGAGTAAGCAAAGGAAGTGATGTATCGAGTCTATGGGGCCACTTGGTACTTTCATATTTTTTCGACGTTTCATGACCCTAAGACAGAACCGTAACTAGAGAGAAATCAGAAATGCTGAGCCTCCCCTAGACTTAACCAAATGTGAATTACAACATCGAAAATCAAAATAAAATGCAATGTTTTATTTAATAAGCGGAAGTCGAAGCAATAAAGAAGTCTGGTCTGGACCATCGCATTGTGATCCGATTATTGTAATTCGTAGAAAATGTCGTTTATAGTTTAGTTTCTCTGTTTCACTCTCATGTGTACAATTCAACAAGCGTTATCGCGATTGGTCTTAAATTACAAGCACTTATAAATGCTTTTCAGTTCAGTCATACTTCTGCTACTACACGTAGAAGACGTGATTAAATTTTTTCGTTATTTTATTGATTAAATCAAGATTCATGACGACTCACTCCATTTTCCCGAAAATTTGGGAAGACAGTACCTACTTTATCATTAGTATTACACTCCATCCAAACTGATATACGTGTGCTTTCAAAAATGTTGATGACGTCATCACAAAATTTTATAATGTAAAAACTCACTTGAAACAAACGCCTAGCACGCTTCTTTACCTTTACTTAAACATTACATACAGGGTTAGTGACGAGAGAATTACTTCTGAAAATTATTTTTACGCAACCCAAAATACTAATACCCTGTACTACTTGATATTATCTAAATTTAAAATGAAATGCCTAATCCATGATTGCTTTGACTTTGGCAGTGTCACTTTGACGTTAATTAATTTTTAACATTTTTTTTCATCGTTGACTCGCCTCTAGAGCCTCATTGGATCGACGACATACAGTCAGATCAATCTGGGCTATACTGAAGCCGTAAGTGCTCTACCAATGTTGTTCGCCGCTAATGTGCATGTGTTAATTCGCCATCTCTGCGTCACCTAGAGCCTCTTCGAAGCGCAAATCTGCAACCTCTGGACTTCTTCGGCCATCCATTTACAAAAAAGCCGTAGCATCCCCCCAAAATGCCCAACATTTTCAACAGATTAGTAGTTAAATTATTTACTTACTTGTTTGAGTTTGTGTTGTAACCTTTGAATAAAATGCCGTAAAAGGAATTTTTAGAAATAATTTTCTCGTGATTAATCGGTTGCAAAAGATCAAGAGGCACACTGACAAATTTATTAGCGGCGCCGGAGGAGATTTTCGACTGACTGCGGTACCACCATGGACACTCGCGTAACCTCCTTTTCCACAATTGTCAAAATGAGATTGCCAAACTCAAAGCAATCATGGATTAAGCATTTCATTTTAAATTCAGTTAGTATCAAATGGTACATGGTATTTGTTAGATATCATCTCGCTCTGCGCAGGCGTGAGCGGTAGAGGGGAAAGGCTGCACCCCTTCAAAACATTGTAAATTATTAGCTAGCTAGAAAGTAAGAGGAGAACAAGTCTCCAAATAAACATATTTCATTATTAACCCACAATTTTATTCACAATTGAGTTACCCGTAAATGCATGGGTAACTGGGAACCATCATATTCCCCAACATAAATTGGTCCTTCGAGCCGGATATTAATACCGCGAATGTATTATCGAACACGCGACAGTGATATCCAGTAACAACAGTTCCATTGGCATCATCACATCATTTGAAAACATCTCCAGGAAGACTAGGTTAGTGGCATTCCTTTCTTACCATCTCCTTATTCATGCATGCGTTTATAATTGCAAGTTTGTATTCGAATTTACTTTGCACTGGGGTTATTGCCATATATTTTTTGTTTTCTAATAATAATTGATCGATATGACGGTTGAAAGGGAAATCAAAACACTCAAGACGAAAAGGGCTGTTGTCAAACGCAGGTTTACTCAATTTGCACATTTTTTTAACGATCCGATTAATAAAGGTAAAATCGCGGAAATTGAAAAAAGATTAGAAGGTGTACAGTCATGTATGCAAGAATTCGAAAATTGTTATATGCAGCTTCACGACTTGGACGAATCTCAGGTGAATATTGAGGATTTAAATGAATTTGAGAACGAATTTTACAGGGTAGTCACGGAAGCTGAAACTTTTGTTAGCAGTAAAGGTAGTGCAGAGATACCGTCAGACAATATTAAATGTATACCTAACAACGTAAAATTGCCAGATATCCAATTGCCCACATTTACAGGCATATTTACAGAATGGATTAGCTTTCGTGATACGTATTTAGCGCTTATTCATAATAGTACGTTAACTCCAATCCAAAAATTTCATTACCTGAAAGGTACCTTAAAAGGGGATGCAAAGCAAACCATTGAGCACTTAACACCCACAGCAGAAAATTATGAATCGGCGTGGTCCCTGCTCGAGGCGCGCTATGAAAATAATCGCTTAATCGCACAGCATCATGTGCGCGCGCTTTTCGCTTTACCCGCCATAAGCAACAAAGATTCGAAATCACTTAGATCACTTATACAAGCTTTGAATTCAAACCTTAAGGCCTTAGAGAACCTTGGTCGTCCAACAAGTCAATGGGACGATTTACTCATTTACATAATTACTTCCAAATTTGATCATAATACTATAATTGCGTGGGAGACAACGCTTTCAAATATAATCCCTTCGATGCAAGACATGAGCGATTTTTTAAACCAACGCTGTCAGATGTGGGAATCACTGGAGGTTAACGCAACCAGTAGGTCTAATTCTAATTTTCATAATAAGATTACCAAAAATCCATACATCAATAATCGGGTGATCTCCCACGTGGCGAACACATCTGCTCCCTTTGGTAAGTGCCTTTATTGCAAAGAAATGCACAATATCTATAATTGTCCTAATTTTTTGAATTTATCTATCGAACAAAGAATCAATGAGATCAAAAAACGAAAATTATGTCTTAACTGCCTGAAAGGTGGACACAAATTGATGTCATGCAATTCCAGTAACTGTAAAAAATGCAACAAACGCCACAATTCCTTGCTACATATAAATGAACGCGAAACAAGTACATCTCCCGAACCATCAACTTCTTCTTTAAACAGTGTCAGTAGTCATTGTGCACAGATCTTGAATAAAAATATTACATTATCCACTGCCATGATCAACGTGTGTGATGAACATGGTAAATTAGTCCAGTTTCGTATACTCTTAGATAATGGTTCCGTTTCCAACTTCATAACTGAAAGAGCTGTAAAACAATTAGGTCTAAAAAACGTACAAACGATAAACTTGTCACTTATAGGAATAGGATGCAGCTCTTCAGTAATCAATAAGACAGTTAGCGCTCGAATTTCTTCAATTATCAATAATTTTAATGCAAAACTCGAATTTTTAATAGTCTCAGAAATAACGGGCAACATACCATCCACCTCATTTTCGCCCATAAACGATATTCCAATAAATATTAAACTTGCCGATCCTTTGTACAATGAATCTAAACCAGTAGATATTTTAATTGGAAACGAAATTTTTTGGGACCTAATGTGTGTCGGTCAAATTAGGTTGAGTAAACAGGGTCCGGTATTACAGAAAACCCAGCTTGGTTGGATTATCGGGGGCGTAGTAGGATGTTTTAATAATCAAAAAACTTCGTCATGTCATGTTACGAATCATTCATTAGAACAGGAGGTAAAACGGTTTTGGGAAATTGAGCAGTACTCGGAGGACCAACCTCCTGAAATTAATAACATCTGCGAAAAATATTTCTTAGAAGGTTCTAAGAGATTAGAGAATGGCCGGTTTTCGGTAAAATTACCATTTGTAACGAATCCACCGGATATCGGTGAGTCTAGGAACAAAGCATTAAGGCTGTTTTATAATCTCGAGAGACGCCTTCACAAGGACCCTCACTTATTCAAGCAATACTCAGAATTTATGGCTACTTACTTAATCCTAGGACACATGACGGAGGTTGCTAATCCCAACAATTCTGGTTATTTCTTGAGTCACCACCCAGTTATTAACGAATCCTCAATAACGACCAAATTACGCGTTGTATTCAATGCCTCAATGCAAACCACTAACAATAAATCCATTAACGACAGCCTCCTAGTCGGGCCCAATTTGCAGCAAGATCTGTTCGGCATTTTAATTCGGTTTAGATTTTATAAAATAGTGATAACCGGCGATATTCAAAAAATGTACAGACAAATACTCTTGCATGAAGATCATAGAAAATATCAACAAATATTCTGGCGCGATAACATAAATGAGCCGGTGAAGGTATTTCAGTTAAACACCATAACTTACGGTTTTGCTAGTTCATCTTATTTAGCTACCAGGTGTTTATTAGAACTCGCCAGGTACGCAGAGCTCGAATTCCCTGACGCGGCCAGGACAATCTCTACAAGTTTCTATGTCGATGACCTTATTTGCGGTGGAGACACACCTGAACAAGCGGCGCAATTATTGCAAGAAATAAAGAGCATTTTAAAAGGGGGAGGGTTTGAGCTGCATAAGCTTAATAGCAATTACCCTCAAGTAATTTATGGCAATGAGCAGGTAGGCGAAACTTATACAGTATCCTTGGATAAGCAGGGTCCGACAAAGACTTTAGGGGTACTTTGGGATAATAATGCGGATGCTATTAGATTTTCAACTTGGGAAAAACCTGCATCGAAGGTAAAGGTAACAAAGAGAATTATCTTAAGTACAGTCGCAAAGATATTTGACCCACTTGGACTTGTTGCACCCGTTACGGTTACGGCAAAAATAATTCTGCAAAAATTATGGGCCTTAAAAATCAATTGGGACGAAAGTGTACCTTGCGATTTGTACACAATATGGAAGAATTTTATGAAGTCACTTCCGGAACTGAATAGTATAACGATACCGCGTAGAGTAATTCATGATTCAACACAAGTTCAGTTGCATGGTTTCTGTGATGCAAGTCAATATGCATATGGCGCGTGCATCTATTTACGGACCATGGACCCGTCAGGTACTTATCGAGCCCAACTTTTATGCGCGAAAAGTAAAATTGCACCCTTAAAGCAGCTAACAATTCCCCGGTTGGAATTATGCGCGGCACTGTTATTGGCACGTCTCACTAACAAAATAATAAAAATTATAAATATTCCTATTAGAGAAAAATTTCATTGGTCCGATTCGTCAATCGTATTAGCATGGATACGTCTTAATCCCTCGACATTAAAGACATTCGTTTCGCATCGTATTAATGAAATACAATCATTAACAGACATTTCAGACTGGCATTACGTCCCCTCTAGTAAAAATCCTGCGGACATTTTATCAAGAGGGGCTACTCCATTACAATTAAAAATGTCCCAAATGTGGTGGACCGGTCCCAACTTCCTGGAAGGTCACCACCAAAATATTCAATTTGTCAAAGATGAGCGCACGCAATTACATATTCCAGAAGTAAAGTCTGTTTGTTGTTCATCAGTAACAAAACCTAGCGTACAATTTGATTTACTAACCAGATTTTCTACCTTTTCAAAATTAATCAGAGTCACTGCTTTCATTTTACGATTTATAAACAAGGCATTGAATAAAACTCCAAAATTTAATGGTCACTTATCTTGCGAGGAATTGCAGCGCGCCCATGATTGTGTGATTAAGCTATTGCAAGCCGAAGCCTTTTCTGAAGAAATTCATAATTTAAAAAATCATAGGCAACTCCTACACAACAACAAAATTTGTAATTTAAATCCCTTTTTGGATCATAAAGGCCTACTAAGAGTAGGGGGTAGATTAAAAAACTCTAATTTAGACGTCGAGCAGAAACATCAATTATTGCTTCCCAAAGGTCATCATGTGACAAGGTTAATCATTAAAAACTATCATGAAGACAATTTGCATTCTGGTTGCCTGGCAACTTTATCAGCCATTCGCCAAAAATATTGGCCCATTGCAGCCCGCAGTTTAATTCGTCGTGTAATTTTTAGTTGTTTTAAATGTTACCGTGTAAAGCCTGTGGCATTTCAACAGCTCATGGGCGATCTACCCAAAGAACGTATCACGCAAGCTCGTCCATTTCTTATCACAGGTATAGATTATGGGGGTCCTTTCGTCATAAAAAATGGGTACGGGCGGACCACAAAAAGGATAAAAATTTTTATCGCTATATTCGTCTGTTTCGTCACCAAAGCAGTGCACATCGAAATGGTCTGCGATTGCACAACATTCATTCAGGGTATTAGGGGAAACTTTACTAAACTTTGAGGAGATGAATACATTATTGGCAATGATAGAAGCATGCTTGAATTCCCGTCCAATTATACCCATCTCAGAAGACCCTAATGACCTATCTTCCTTAACCCCTGGCCACTTTCTCATCGGCACTCCGTTGACGGCTCCGGCGGAGCCCATTGTTGGCGAAGTACCCACCAACCGCATGAATAGATATCAGCTCGTGGAGAGCTTGAGGCAGCACTTTTGGCAACGATGGTCGAAGGAGTACCTGCACAACATGCAACAGAGGACCAAATGGAGCCGTACACCAACACAGCGTCCAGCACTAGGAGACCTCGTCATCCTGAAGGAAGACAACACTCAACCCTTACAATGGCCTCTGGGGCGAATCTGCGACATACATCCTGGGCAAGACGGTCACTGCAGGGTGGTAACAGTGAAAACTGTGCGCGGAGTGTACAAAAGGCCTCTCTCGAAAGTGTGTGTAGTGCCGCGCGAAAATGAAGAAACTCGAGCGCTTAATCTCAGTAATAAACCACCTACTGTACTCATTTAAATCCATGGACATGTAATTTAAAATTTTCTAGTTATGGTACATATAATATTTTCTGAATTGTAATTATATCAAATTCAGCGCGGGGAGCTATGTTAGATATCATCTCGCTCTGCGCAGGCGTGAGCGGTAGAGGGGAAAGGCTGCACCCCTTCAAAACATTGTAAATTATTAGCTAGCTAGAAAGTAAGAGGAGAACAAGTCTCCAAATAAACATATTTCATTATTAACCCACAATTTTATTCACAATTGAGTTACCCGTAAATGCATGGGTAACTGGAAACCATCATATTCCCCAACAGTATTCGTATTTTGGGTTGCGTAAAAATATTTTTCAGAAGTAATTCTCTCGTGACTAACCCTGTATATATCTTTGTTTTAACTTATAAAGGGTATCATAAAAAATAAAATTTGCAAAATCAAATCTTTTAATTTTTGGAAAGAGCTGGATCTGATTTCCAGTACATGGGCAAGAGAAGTTCTGTCGAAATAATATTCGACCATTTTTTTATGACGGGGTGCGTTCAGAAGCAAAGTGGTGTAAGGTTGGAAAAGCGCTCCTAAATAAAACATAAAATGTGGAGGACAAAAATCTTTTATTCCTCCAGCCTGACGAAAAAAAAACTGCGACCAAGTACACTTTCAACAGGTTGAAGACCTCTTAATTCTCCGCTACAAAAAAAACTTGCCTAACTTTTCGAAATGAAATCAAATCAAAGATTCCGAATCAAAGTACTTAAATATTTGAATATTACGAAAAAAAAGAGAAAACTGAATTAAAGTAACAGGATTAAAAGTTGTTACGATGGTGTAGCGGCAAATTTAAATATGAACAAAATCGAACTCTATAACAGGAGTCCAAATTATAGGTAGGTAGGTCACGGTTACGCGATCGGTGGTTCATTTCTACACGTTAGAACTCTCTTCAGTTTTCAGCTATACGTTGTGTTGTGAAATTTTTGGATTACAACACATACTCACCCTTGCGGTGCAAGACTGTTACGTAATTAACAGTGTCATCTCATTCTTTGGGGGCCACCAACCTGAAGGAAGCGCATTCCACGAGAAAGCAAGTACCCCACGCGAAACAAAATTAAAAAGGTTTGCGAGATAAACCCAACTAAAATCCCTCTGCTAATATTGCCGTAATTGACCGGAGAACTTCATCTCGTTCCTTTTGTGGTTGATTTTTTATTGAAAGCGCTAAGTTGAGATCAAATCTGAAAATTGTCCGCGTTGTCATACATTTTACAAATGACCCCATCAATCTGAAATTTGTACTCCCGGAGTTCTAACGATGATTAAACATAAATTACTGTAGTGCAAAGCTAACAAATAAGTTACATGAAGTTAAATATGCCACACTTTTTCAACGATTTCAAACAACAAAAAATTTACATGAGATTAAATCAGGTGTTATTTCAAGTGATTCATGTCATCAAATAGCATTCACAGATTATCTCATGGACCAAAAACCCCTCATTGCATGCAAACAAAAAATAAACACATATTCAATACGATCAAAATCAGCTGCTGAATTCAATTGAAGCCGCAAAAAATATTATTAAACGCACAAGAAAATAATTAGATCTGAAACAAATTATTAAAACAAGTCATAAAATATTAAAGTTCCTTTCTCTCAAAATGTACCAACGTTTACATGTGTTCAAATGCCATAAATCAACTGTTAGCAATCTTGAGTGAGATATATTAGGAAATGTGCTATAACGTAATACTTAAGTAAAAACATCCAGAAATTTTAGTTACACCTCGATAAACAAAAGAATCAAACCTAAAGAGGTATTCATGACTGTTACATTGTGTTAGAACCAGTAACAGTTAAAAATCTTGACATGAACAATAAACAAAACAACAAACAATCATGTGCTAACAATTAACATCGGCGGAAGTTTACAATATTTCAGATTAGAAAAGTATAAATAATAATTAATTACGCTCATCGGGAAGAAAGTGTGGCATCGGTACGATTTAACTGTCGTTAAATAATTGCTATAGTAGACCAGAAGCACAGTAGAGATAACAATCAGTAGGGACGGCTCGCCGTTTTTCGTGACCCGTTTTCGTGGATGGTCGTTCGCTTTATGACCGAATGAGGGCGCCCAACTGACGTCTAAAATATTTGAAATTTGGCAGTTTTGTTACAATATTTTTGCCGGTTTTGCTTGTTTAAGACTGCTTTTCCAGTAGAATTGTACAAATAGTATAAAAATGTAATTTTCACAATAAAAGGTAAAATCTTCGTCCGATGAATTTTCATACAGGATCCCTGTTGTGCGCCTGCCTTATTCTCTCCCTCGTGTTTGGAATTCTTGGAAAAGATAGTAAACATAACACACTTTTTGTTTAAAAAGTCGTCGCAAACGAACAACAACGGTGGTTATGAAATAAATATAAAAAATTTATTATATATGATTCCGTTGTTGTGGTAAAATTAAATATAAAAGTAATAAGAAACAAACTACACGTAACAAAAAATTATATAAGCAGACCTTCACTCAATAAACAATTTTTTTATTCATCATGTATATATATATTTTTTTTTTGACCTACACAATCTTGAGTTTTATTTTGAGACGTTGCTTAACCCATAAGCAGTCGCGCGTGGGTAAAAATGACCCAAGCCGTACATTTTGTCAAATATCTTTTTTCGCTTAATCCCTATGGACTTCCGGTTTCATGAATTCCTTAATTATTCTTACCTGCGTCGACCCATACCAATTACCTGCACTTTATGCGAGTCGACAAATATGTATTTTTTTTTGTAATATTTTTTTTTAAATAAAAATTTTACTTTATATGATATTACGCTTACGGGTTAAGTTGTTAGGTAAAATGGGTTTTTTTCGTAAAATTTTTGAAATTATTAAACAATTTAACAGGTGCTGTTCTTATTTTTATATTTATTCTTGTATAAAGTAATTACCATAATTACATTATCATGCCTGTCTGTTTATTTCTCTACTTTTTTTTAGCTTTCTACATATATAAATAATATGGATACTTTCTTTAATAACTAAAAGAGTCTATTCTCGAAAAATATTTAGTCCTCATAAAATACTCCTTTACCTACAGTCCATTACAAAGTGTACCATTTCCGGATTAACATTTATGACTGTATAAGTAATAAAATAAAAACTGTAACAAATCATCGTGTTTATAATTTAAATATCGACTTTTTTTTTCTTATTGCGATTCATGATTATACGATTTGAGCAAACTACACAGTTTGCAATATTGCGTACACGAATCAATTTTTGAAATTTTAAATGAAGTGATACTTTTTAAATTGGGTGGCGACATCTAGGAATAGTTTAGGCAACGACCATCCATGACGGCTTAAAATTCGGGTCAGAAAGAACAAAGGCGCCGACACGAGCTGTCCCTACTGATTGTTATCTATGCTGTGCCAGAAGCTATAAGGTTATATGACCATCATAAAATCATCACATTGTGTCGAAGTTAAGTTGTTTACAATAGAAAAGGTTTTAGGGTCGTAAATAACGTGTCCACTGCAGCTCGACCGGCTGTTGGTGTTTCGTTCAGGGGCGGCTTTCACTAAATATGTAAATCCACCACTCCACTACTTCTTTACTACCTGAGTTCCGAAATAACCACTCGCTTTGAAAGCCGGCCCTGTTAAATGTGAACAAGAAATGTTTAGAAGACGTGTAGTAAGCCGTTTCGAACCAAATTTCCGCGCGCCGAACTTTTGGTAAGAAAAGGTGTAGGAATGGAAAGAAACGAAAACCACTAAGAGGGAGATGCGCAGAAGGGTGTGTTTGAGCAGGGTGAGTCGCGGCCAGTTCGACTTGGCCTTTCTTTCGAGTAAGACGTCAGGTTGGTGCTCTCTGTGTTTTTTTCAAATGTCTGTGCGCTGTTTGTTTCCTGTTCTAGTGCTGATTTCTTCTAACGGAGTTCCACCCCCCTGACGAATCAGCGAACATAAGAATTCTTTGCTACGTTCGAACACAGAGAGGTTATTTCGGTGGTGAGCACGTAGTTGGTTTGAAGATCCGAGAGGTATGTTTTCCACGTGATTCCGTGTGTGCTGGTGGAAGAAGCGGCGTTGCTTCTCGATGGTTACGGAGTATGTGAGACGCGGGAACCACACATATGTGAGCTTCGCGTGTGTGATTCATATGTGAACGGACGCCACAAAATGGCGGCACTTCCGGATGACGCCATGGCCGTTAATTTTCGTACCACGGACTAAAATATGAAGGACATTGTACTGTGTAGTTCGGGTGGCTCCGTTTTATTTCCGTGGTGGCGCTGCGTGTTACTAGCCCTGGTTTTCCATTGAAGTAAAGCGGTGTTTCTATTGTTTTACCAAATATTTTCAATATATTACAACAATTTGGTAATTCTATTAACCACAGTTAATAAAAGATGCATCAGGCAATTAGTGGAAAGTGACAAACGAAGATGACAACAAGAAGTGGCAAGTGTTTTGTACCAATGTGCCGTACAGGTTACAAAGGTGCAACAGGTAAATTTTCGTTATTTCGTGCTCCACATGATGAAAATCTATTGCAAATCTGGCAAAGAAAAATACCCAGAGGAGATAGAAATCTCACATCCCGTGACGTTGTGTGTGAAAGACATTTTACTTCGTCAGAGATAATTAAGGAATGGAATTCTGGTTCGGTAAGTACATTAGATGAACGTATTAAGTACCTAATGCTTATATACCTTATTTGGTTTCTGATCAGATTTCAATTCCGTATAAGCGTCCAAAATTAAAACATGGGGCAATACCAACAATATTTCCTAATTGTCCTAGTTATTTAACAACAGCAACAGTTTCGAAAAGGAGGATAATCGAAAGACATGAAATTCCATCGAAAAGAGCAAAAATGGAGCAACTTGAAAATTTGGAACCTGTAGACAAAACAGTCGAAGACCCAGACGTAATTAAAAACCCATTTAAGGATTTATTGGATGGAAATATACCATTTCAATTGCCACCTTTTTGTAATTTTACCACATACGGTGAGGGTGACACTAAAAATGTATTATTTTCAAAAACAGTTATCAAAAACCAGAAGCCAAACGTGCAGCATGTTTTAGTAAATGAAAATTTTCAGTTACATTTTTTTGTAAATTGCGTGGAAGTGAATATTGAATGTAACTTTGAACAGATTGGAAGGGATGTAAATTTATTTGAGGAAACCTTGAAGATATTTATGTTATCAGACATTTGCATTGGCGGTCCAAAAGAAAATTTGTATAATGTTACAAACAGCAGAATTGCTAAATTTGATAGTACAACAAGTCGATGGAGACATAATAATTGCATATATCTGTTAAAAGAAAAACAAGAATGCTGTATAAAATGCGGTCATTTGTACAAAGTGTCTCGTTCATTGAAAAGTCAGGATACAACAAAGACCAAAATTCCAAAAAAGACTGTTGACAAGAAATCTTTACAAAGGACAACTCGAAGTTTGCGTCTCAGAATACAACACATTTTACGAGCCAAAGCAAAGTTTTGTAAAATCAAGCAAGAAACTTGGGAGGGAAAGCTTAACTTATTACCTACAAAACAAAAAGATATGATTTTGGAATGTTTGAATTTAACAAAATTTAAATCTAAAAATAGACGAAGATATACAGCAAATTGGATTATGTCTTGCATGTTGCTTTATATTAAAAGTACTTCGACTTATGAACATCTTCGACGAAATGACATTTTGCCATTGTGTTCCATTTCAACAGTGAGGCATTATTTGAGGAATGTTAATATAGCGTGTGGTTTGGATAATAAATTCTTTGAATTGTTTAAAAAGAAGTTGTTATACAAAAATGAATTTCAAAAGGACGGATTACTACTTTTTGATGAAGTTCAAGTAAAATCAAGTGTTACAGTCAATCCAAAGACACTACAGCTGGATGGGTTTACTAATTTCGGTATTGAAGATTCAACAAAAGAGAAAAAAGAATTAGTTGATCATGCGCTAGTTTTTATGTTTTCTGCTCTGCATGATTCGTTTGTTCAACCAGTTGCAGTTTATGGTGTGAAAGGTTGTAATTAAATGATTTATAGTATTTTTTTTGTGTACTAATGTTTCAGTTTTGTGTAGGGGCAACTAAAGGTGAAATATTGGCACAGATTATTCTCAAAATTATTATTGAAATTACCAAGGCCGGAGGAAATGTACGGGGAATTATCTGTGATGGAGCCACAACAAACCGGAAAATGTGGTCCATTTTGGGCATATCTGGCCAGAAAAACAATTTAGTTAATAGTTTTAAGAACCCTTGTAATGATGAGCCGATATATGCATTTTCAGATACACCATATTTATTTAAATGTGTCCGAAATAGAATGTATAACCAACCACATTTAGTAGTAAGTAATAATGTATTTATTCTTCAATCATCATTATTGCAAATCATTTCCAGACTCCTTTTGGCAAAATATTATGGTCCTATTATGAAGCACTTTATGAATTAGATAAGAAAAATCCGGGCAATCTTCGCGTATGCAAAAAACTATCATATGATCATATAAATCCAACCAACTTTCTGAAAATGCGCGTTAAACTGGCCACTCAAGTATTGTGTATAATACACTTTTTTCTTTTACACATTTTTTGTAGATTTTCAGTAATTCTGTAGCTGATGGGCTGACAATTTACAAAGAACGCAACCCTTCCGTCATTGATGATAATGTTAAACCAACCATTCAGTTTACGAAGTTCATGAATTCTCTTTTTGATGTTCTCAACAGGAAATGTTATCTTGATGGCATATACAATGATAGCAAAGACTTTGATGTGAGATATAAAATAAATGAATAAATGACTTATTTAATGCAAAAAACAAATTGTTTTAGATTCTACAAAAAGGATTGCAATTCTTAGATGAGTGGGAAGATCTAAAAGTAAAGGGATACATTACTGAACGTGAAGGTTTAACATCAAACACATTAGAAGGCTTAAGAGTATCAATACAATCCACAATTGATTTAACGACTCTTCTACTCTCCAAGGGGTACAAATATGTAGCAACGGCTAAAATTAACCAGGATCCACTAGAGGTAGTATACTGAAAATATGTATTTTTACAGGTTTAACTTGATCGAAAACCCCTTCTGTGATTTTATCTTTTATCAACATATCAATTCCCTTACCTTTTTTTTTTTTAATTACGTACTATTACCAAAAATATATTGTTCTTGAAATAAAACTAGAAATTTTTTGGTATCATCAGACAAAGTAATGGACCAAATGACCATCCAAATTTTTATAATTTTCTCAATTTATACAAACTTTTGTCTATCAATTCTTTACTTCGTCCTCCAGAATTTGGTAATTGTACGGTGACTGCAGGTGAACTAAATCCACAAAATTTAATTACATTAGCGGACATGAAATCTATTTGGGGACCGAAAATAGAAGGTTTTCGTCAAGACCACGTAAGACGGCTTCAAGAAAAATTAGACATTCTTATATGTGATGAGTGGGGATTAGACGTTTTTACTCCAAATGAACATGACTATTCAGCACCTGAAGTTAAGGATTGCATTATTTATTATACAGCGGGATGGGTTTCTCGAAAATTGTTGAAGTTAAAATCAGTCAAGGATTGCGGGCAATGTACTACAGCTTTTCAATCAGAAGAAAATTACACCGCTTTGGCCGACATGACAAACGTTAAATCTTATGGATTTTTAAAACATCCTAGCAAACCATTGTATACAATTTTAATCCACATTGAAAATTATTTTTCCTCCCACGTCAAAATGTCTGACAATATTTATGAAGATTGTGTAGAATATGCAAAGACTCTGAAATTATCATTCCCTTGCGCTTATCATGGCCAATATATCATTGCGTACTTGATCCATTTCTTTGTTGTAACAAGAATGAAACAATACTATTCTGTTGAAAAAAAGAGCAATACAAAAAAATCTCAGTCTTTAAAAAAACAAGCTAAATTACGAAGTACTTAGCTTTAAACTAGCAGATTCTTCAAATGTATTTTAAAGTGTATATTTTTTAATTTTTCTTTAAATAACAAAATTGTGACCTTTTCCACCTGCAATGAAGTTGAGAAACGTCTTATTTTTTAGAAGAATATTTGAAACGCAGTAACTTTTAATTAACAAAGTAGTTCTAAAAAGAATTCACATTGGTAGCATTAAATGCACTTTTTACTTGTACTAAAATAAAAAGTAACCTTAAACTATGAACTAGAGTTTTATTTATCGCAAACCATACAACTTTTACGCCTAATACGACTTTTTATCCTTTTTGAGTTAAATTAATTAAAAAAAACTTTCAAATTTCCGTAAGCTTCCATATTAAACTAGGGCTTGTGTTCGGTGGCGCCTCTAGCGGTCGCGCCAAAAATAACGGAAAGTAAATGGAGCCACGTTTTTAACGCCGTGGGATTGACAGTCGTTTGTCCTTCTTATCTAGGTCCGTGTATCGTACTAATCTTTTCAACATAATTTCAATCCGTTTTAGTAGGGCTTTTCAGGGAATTACGTTAGCTAGGGCAGATTTATTTAGCGAATGTTATGCGGAAAGTTGATGGCGATTTTCGAGTTATTATTTTGCGTTGCATAATTTGAGCACGTGTGAGTAAAATAAATTCAAACGTAATCTGAATACGTGAATCTTTAACAAAAATAACGTTGAGAACGGCATCAGAAAATTAATAACATTAGAGTCTAGGGGACGGGGATTTTCTTTGTGTTAGTAACATCAATTAATTAGGCACATCAATTTGGCTGACATTATAAGGTCTAAGATATTTGAATGGCTTTTCCTCGATTTATTATTCGTTTGTTGTAAACTCTAATGCTGGAAAATTTCATGTAGTTTTTCAAATATTCAGCCGTTCAAAATAGAAAAAGAAAGTGGTAGGATGCAAGTACGGGGTGTTGACCGGGGAATTTCAAGGGCAACCTTTGTGAATTTTTGTATTAGTAATTGGGGATTTGTTGTTGACCGAAAACTGTTGATGAATTTGAAAATGAATGTTATTGAAAGAAAGGTACAATTCAAAGCGAATGTGCACCTACGATTACCTATATTTTATTTATTTTGCATATTTTATGTGTGGTATTTTTTATGTGTATTTTGTTTGGGGATGTGGGGGGGGGGGGTTGTTTGTTTAATTCGGTCAACAACGTAACTTTGCCCAGATCATTTTAATGCAGTCATAACTTCTTTGTTTAATGTCAGATAAATATTTCAATAAAATCCATAGCTTCTTTATTTTCTTTGGTAAGAATCAGCGACGTAAATGTAGCTTAATTTAAAAATTATTGCCAAAATGTGAATAATTTAATCTCTTTCAAAATTCTTGTTCTTTAAAGTTATTGATAAAAACATGAATAATTTCTCATTTCATTTTCCTTGTTGTATAAGATTGTTGATCACACGCGCATAATTTAATCTCATTTAAATTTCTTTGTTATTTAAAACAAGTATTGATGGAGTGTGGCCAATTAAATTTTGCTTATTGCTCGTCTGAAATCCAAATACTCAATTTGATAGCGCTTGATAACTCGGGGGTCGCGTGGCCTGGCCGCGGTGGCGTCGACGACTCCGTGCGGGTGGTTACGGCTCTTGCCAGACTTCCGACCCTGGCTGACTCGGAGTTTACACAGCTGCCTTATCGGCGGGGGCAGGAAGGTCAACCTATGTCAGGTGGGTGCGTAAGACCACGCGCGTGAAGTGGTGAAGCAGGAGAACCTCGTGGGCCCTCACGGGGAGTGCGGCTGCCGCCCTGCGCTCGCTGTGCGCCCCCCATTTGTTTGTAGAGGCCACACTGCCATAATATCTGGAACGTTGCCATCCGTTTACTTTCTGAGAATCCCGGGACTTTTTTATTTTGTTTCTTGTTGTACTTGTAAGGTTGTTAATCTTTATTCTATGTTCTCAGGTTCGAGTGAAAATAAAGGTTTTTTTTTCTTTGAGGAATAAATTCTTTAAGCTCTTCTGGGGCCCTTGGCCAAGGTCTCTTGAGCTCTTATTGGATTTATTTTTTATAGTTTTTTTTTTTCCAAATATAAGTTTTTTAAATCCGTCACTCTTCCCGCTCCGCAGTGCGCCAATTTGTATGAACGAACGCCTCCCACCAGTTTTCAAAACACAATGTAGGGTCCCACTTTTGTAGACGATCACAGCCAAGGCCAAATTTCAAATTTTAGCGGGCTTTTTCAAATTTTGTTTAATGTCAAAAAAAAAGGCGGGAGGTTTGGGTTATTACAGACGATTTATTGCCAGCCGGTAAGCTTAGTGCGAACCACACAAAAGGGGTATTTATTTGCGGTCAACTACTTTTATGACGGTCATATAACCTTATACCTTTTGGACTAGTATATTTTATGAAACTACCAACTAAATTTAACCTATCCTCAATTTTCACACTAACCGTTATACCAGAAGTAATGCGATGAGCTCAAATGAGAAACAAATTGGTCGAACGACCCGCGAATTTTTCTAACTGCTATATATTGCAATCCTAACCCCTCTAACTGCAAGTCTCTACACGTGTCTTTGTTACTACCTAATATTTTTAAATTATTTTTCAAATTCAAATTATTGAAGTGCGGTTTCGCGTCGTTGTTGTTTCCTCACCGCGAAATATTAATTCAAACTGGGACACCACAGAATATGGTCATTCTGATTTAGATTTATTAAGTAGAAGGTGTCTTGAATTAAAAAAACAGTTTCTATAAATAGCCAATACAGATCCTTTTAGATACATTACTACGACTGCTGGTGTTTGTATGGCTATATATAGATCAAATCAGAAAAGATTCAAATCAGATTAAAAAAGAAAAAATCTATTGAATAGATTTCATAACCCAAATATAAAATTATGCATTAAACGATGGTGCAGTAAAAAATATGTGAATCAAAAGCTGATGATTTTGATGAAAAACCTAATAGTGTATCAATATCATGTTTGTTTTTGGCATGGGCATTCTAAATATTATAATCAAGATTTTATTAATAAGAATAAAACAAATATGAAAGATATGGAAATAGAAATAAGTAAGCAAATAAAGCTGGTTACAATTTAATAGAAATGTAGGAATGTACTTGGACTAAATCTAAAGAAGTAAAACTAATTGAAAAATCGTCTTCAACTAATGAAACTTCGCTAAAATATGAAGAAGTGATTACTAGAAAAAAATTCTTTGGAAGAAGAACTAATGTAACGAAATCGAGAGTCAAGAAAAAGAAAATGAAATATACACATAGTTGCAGTTTATATCCAACAGTACAATGTTATGATTATCCGACTGCACATCCTACTAAAATATTCAAACCTACGTAGTATCCAAAATGGTTTGGATTAATAAAAAGTGATATTTTACCACCAAGAAATCCTCTTGTATTACCATTAAAGAATAAATATAAATCTGGTACAGAAAAGCTAAAATTTCCATTATGTGAAGTATATGCTAAATCCAAGAACAATTTATGTGAATAAAATGAAATACAAAAAGCTATAGAAAACGGTTGTAAAATAAAATAAAATATATTGATGAAGTTTGGCATTTTGGAAGAAAATCGAGTTATTTGTTCATATATAAAAGCATTTATGAAAATAAAGTTAGAAAGTGAATGGAAAAATTAGGCATAGAACTGGGTAAAATAGAAAATAATCTGGGAAAGAGAGCGGTAGTAAACATATTATCCTTAAATTCCTTATGGGGCAAATTTGGTCAGTGACAAAATATGGGGGTCGCAGATATGTCGTAACATGTTAAAAGATTTTATGAAATTTTATTAGATGATAGACTTGATAATATACATATAAATTAACTAAAAGAGCTGTTGGCCACAGCTCCAGGCTTGCATGGAATTCGCAATTAGGTCACCCCCCCCCCCCCCAACCCTCTTAAAAACCAGCGGGACTTCCATACAAACTTACAAATCTTTATCCCCAATTTTACATCCTTTGGGGTAAAATTTCCAACTGCCGAAATGTAGTGTTTCTAGCTTCTGCGTTGGTGAATCACTCAATGTGTCAGTCAAAGCAAATACTTTTATATGTATAGATTAAATGAAAATATATTGATTATAAGTATAAAGTTTACTATGTAGAAAATTAGTTCAATACCAACATATTCACCTGCTTTTACAACTGTAATTGCCAGATTAAGATTGTACTAAATGTTAGATAAATTAGGAGAAAGTGTGACATATTATTACACAAAATTGAATACGTAGATGATGGCAAAAACACTGTCACAACAGGATGCCTATTGGGAGATTGGACCGATGAATTAGGTAAGGGCGTATCGATTGTTGATTGGGTATCAACAGGTTCAAATAGTTACTCTTTTAAGACTAGTGTAGGTAAAATTGTCGGTAAAACAAAGGATTTACATTAAACTATGAAATGTCCAAAAAGATTAATTCTGATCACATAAATAATATTTTAGAAAACTAAGATAATAAAATCAGTACACAACTTATCGAATTGCCAGAGATACTAAAACTAAATCTGAATCACCTAGGTACGCCACTGATCTAGTGCAGGCTATTTAAAATTAGATTGCAAACGGTACCTACGGGATAAACAAATAGTACCACTTTTTCATCATATAACGTCCTTGGTTAACTGTTTATAATTAGGGAATGAATAAAACAAGTTTAAGTCATTGTGCTTGTACCTCTTTTACATTTTATTCATAAAAAGGTATCAATATAATGGGATTATTATAATAAAATGGGATGATGCTGACAAAAAAACTGAAAATTCTTGGGATCATACAACCAAACAGGGGATGAGTTTGTACGTATGAGATATTTACAGAGACTAGAGCTTATTGGCCTTAATTTGAAGGATGTGTTTTTACCAAGTTGCCTTCTCTTCTACGAACATTTTGTGCGTTTATAACACAAGAAACAAAACCTTAATTTTTACAGTAAAAATAAATTAAAATGCGAAATAAAAAAGTAAATCAAAACTTTTAAGAAAAATGGCATCGCAAATGTAAAAACACATCCAAGGTTTACACAAATAAAAATTATTACGTTAAAACAGATGTTTGAAAAAACTGTACATTCTAGAGAGCTATCATATAGAGAGATTATCGTCGATATGTCATGCAGATCTACATTATCTGCTTAAAAAAAAGAGTATCAAAATATAATAAACTAACTAAACAATAGACTAAACACGAGGAAAATTAGTTTCCATTGCACTTATACTAAAAATTAAGAGCGAAACAGTAACTAAATATAAATTAAAAACAATTTCTTAAGTTATTAAACTTAATTCATAGTTGCATATTATTATAATTCCTACCAGTCAATTTTATAATTTAAATCCTACATACTACAAGACACAACGTGTCTATTTTGCATTGAGTCTCCAATATTTTTACAATGACTTCCAATATGGTCATCTTTGAAAAAATATATAATATAAAAATTACGGAACCAGTAATATTAGAATCCATACTGGAAGTCTAAACTACTACTTATATTTAGTTGCAACTAAAACAGGCGCATTTGAACGTTAATATCTTCGTAGCTGACTACTTTCATTTAGGAACGTTTTCAATTTGCCTAATTCTCTTGTGTTCTGATTATTTTTCGAGTACTGTCAAAGTGCATAAGAATTAACTATGATTACAACTAAGCGTCTTTTCTTTAAATAGTAGGTAGTAGTTTGTTTGGATAATTTTTAATATTATGATCTATCTGACGTACGCAACTATTAAATACATGCCAAAGATTATGGAACTTTTTTCTATTTATATTCTAATACATAGCAATGAAATTACATTAGAGACGTTTTTGTTCACAGGAAGATCACACAGTTAAAAAATTACATGCATGATATATTTTGCCTTACATTCACCTTTTTGGATTGCAGTCAGAGATCTTCAAAAACATCAAGAAAATCAACTATCAGCTTATTGCTCTATCGCGTATAAATAACAAAATAATATAACGAATCTTTTACGTTTCGGAATTTATGTATGAGTAAGGTACTTTGTTGTATGAACAGTTGCGAACTATTCTGGTCATGGTACTCAATGATCTATACCTGCTAGATTTATTTTTTGTCACAAATATGGTCACGTAAAATACGTCTAAGTTTAAAAAATAAAAGAGTACGTAACACCACACATCCTGCAACAATCTACATACTACGCCTCACTTAATATCCGCACTTATCGTAATAAACCAACCGTCGAATTTCGAATTAAATCAGATTTGTATAAGGATTGCCGTATAAGTGAATGGAAACGACTTACGTAACTAATCCTTAACTAAGTTAGAGAGCTGGGTTAGGTGGGCTATCACAAGGGCTTACGTTAGTGAGTTACAGCTCTTTGGCTCTTTCTTGTTTGTGCTGTTTTGTGCTACGTACACAAGACAAATAACAATAGTTGAGTATTTTTTTTTCGTAGGCCTAACGGAGCTGCAGATATGTTCAGTAGGGCGTAAACCGGTTATAACCGCTACGATAAACAGCAGCCTACAAAAGAAGAATGATGTTAACCGTACAAATGATCTAAATCGGGATTACTTTTATCTTTGCACACAAATCACTGATCATTAAGCTCAAATAAAAAACAGCACCCGCTTCATGACAAAAGCTGTTATGTGGATAATAATTATTTATTATTTACTTATTGATTTACATTAATTTTAAACAAATTTTGAAATTGTAGAACATTTTGTACGTTGTATTCATGTCGTTGTCAACCTTACCAACAAAGTACAATAAATAAATAAATTTCGGGCACTAGTTTATAGTCATGTCAAAAATTAAAATGCAGTTGAAGCTTTATTGTCATTGAGCAAGATTACGGTTGTAAAATAACTAGGTTGGTACACTAGAGGCTGGGGATAGCAACGCTTTTTGTCGATCCACATACGTGATAAAATATATAACTGCCAACAGATAGTTCGATCTTGTGGTACACATTACGGTGCAGATAGATATATTTGTGGAAAGCAAACTAATCTCAATTTGCGTGTTTTTGAGATTTTGCATTTATAAAATAACAATTACGGTTGGTCAATGTTATTTATGTAAAAAACGAGGAATAAAAATATTAAACAAATTTTGCAGTTGTTAATATTTGCAATTTGCGCCAATTTGATTTGCAATTATCCAGAATTGTTGAATTATGTAAAACTCAATCCGTTTTGGACAATTACATTACTCAGTTAATTATAGTATTTTAAACAATGAATGGAACAAGAAACAAATATGTATAGGTATATAATTTTTATAATATTGTTAAGATAAATATCAAAAGTCCTAAGTGCGTGAAAAAATAAATAGTGAATGTGCCGAAACATCGTCCCAAAATTGAATTTAAAATACCCGCATTACTGCAAAAATATATTACGTGCAGACGATTTGAGACTTCCGTCCCTCTTTGGTGACCACGCTTTTCGCTCATTGTACGAATACACGGTTACCAGTATATGCTTTATTAGGTATACAGGGTTATTAACAAGTATGGATACAGGTAAATATTTCCAGGACGGTTTATCAGAAATTTGGAGTACAGGCAAAAGTGTTTGTTTGAACTCTATCCTCTGAAGTGTTATTGAAATTTCCATCAACATTTGTTTTGGAGATACAAAGCCAACTTGTTTTTTTTTATGGCACAAGGGGTCAAATTTAAAATGATGTAACACATGCTTTTTTAATTTGCAATAAAAAATACAATTTGGTAAATATGAAATTTATTTGGCCTAGGAAACTTCTTTATCTATCATTAGTTCTTTACCATCATTCTATGTTGGTCGAAAAATTAAATAAAAGTCAATGATAATTGTAAAAATAACACATTTAACTGAAATAAAACAGTTTTTAATAAAATATATTAAAAAAATCAATCTTATTATTATTTTAATATTTCTTTTTTACCTTTTAGTGAATCCAGAAAAAATGCTTTTTTAAAAAATATTAAATTTGACACTTCCTATTAAAAAAAATCAAGTTGGCCTTGCACCTCCAAAACAAATGTTGATGGAAATTTGAACAATATTTCCGAGGATACAGCTCAAATATTTTTTTTTTTGTGTACCAAATTCGAGTTCTGATTAAGCGTTCTGAAAATATTTAGCTTAACCCAATACTTTTTAACAATCCTGTATGTGCCGAACCCTGTATCAATGGAAAGTACGTTTAGCACCTCTACTGTGTAGCACGGAAATTATTCTAGTTAATTTAGCGCTTTTTGTTTAAAAATGACGATTAACAATACAAAATTTTTAGATGATAATTGATCGGAGTCGATAATAATAAGTAGTACGATTTCTTTTATTAATTATATTAATTAGCATGGATGCACGGATATACGCTAGTGTATCAACATACTTATCATTTCTACAACCGTGAGCAGGAGACATCAGCATGACTTTTAAAACTTAATCGTTGAAAGATGCGTTTTTAATAAAGACAACTATAAAACTATAATTTTAGTTTGCATAGTGAAAGCAATTAGTATCAAACTACATAGACCTATGCAACTGTAGGTTGTAACCTCTTATTACGTTTTTTTTTTTCAACTATTTGGACTAAGCACAACAAACACTGTCCTTATACCTCTAATCTCAAAATTAAAATTTCTGTAATATGTTTGATCTAGAAGAAGCCTTACATTTCTTTTATGCTTATGGTTTTTAACCGCAAATAAACTGATTTCTATTTGGAGTAGTGACATAAATATGTAGCTTTTCAGAATTCCTTATATTTTAACTGACTCCAGCATTAAACACAAAAATATTTAATTTCTTACTGTATTCATACAAAGTATGGCTTGTAATGTTCGATCGGCAATTGATTGTGATCGAATGTGTGCAAAAATAAAAAAAATCCAAGTTACTGTTATTAAATTGTTGCTTACATACCCCATATCCGGCCATAGGCCCTATCCCGTGTCCGAGATAAGGATCTGCGTAATCCCGACCATATCCTGCGACTGCAGCATATCCAGCAACGGGTTGAGCAGCGCCGTAACGTGCCGCCACTGCCGTATAAGTCGCCGCGGCGGCGTAACTTGCCTGTTGGGCAGTCGATAGAGGTGTTTTTAATAGAGGTGTTGCGGCCGCAGCAGCCTAGAACAAAGAGCCATGCACAGCCATGCACATCTAAAGCCGCTAGATGCAGACACATCAAGGCTGTGCTATATACAACATACCATTTATTCAAAATCTACACTGATAAGGCGTTCCATATCTGTAGATTTTGAATAAAAATTATTCAACAGTGGGAACAGTTAGGATATGATACCCTAAAATTTCCTAAATAAACATAACAGGAAATAAGATTATATGTTGTGTTCGGAATTAGTGGACAAACTTCACTGATCGCTGCTTAATCCAAAGCCTTCTGCGATCTAAATGCATTTGCCATAACGTCGTGTTAATCTTAGAATTCCGGTTTCATATAATACAATACCTTGCTGCTTTAATAAACACCACATGAGTATTAAAATAAATACACGCTTATAATTGGTTATAATACTATTAGAAGTTATTAAGTAGTCAAAAATAAACTTACAGGTAGCATAAAGTTCAGCACAAAATCTCGTAAATTGATGGTTATTTCACATTTTCAAGTATACATTACTTTCTTAAGGTAGTACACTGCACCGTTTAATAGGACTGCAGTGTTGCGCACAACCTGGTAGTGTTCAAAGTTTTACAGAGGTTGCATTTATAAAATGTGGAACAAATTTGCTAAAATTTTTACGAATGAATTATGAAAATAGTGTTACTACGTTCCTAAAATTTCAGAGAAATTAAATCGAGTATTTCTGAGGTGATCAAAAAATAAAAGTTACTTTTTATAAATATAATTTATCACATCATTACATTGCTCTAATCTTAGTTTTGCTCCTCTTTAAAAATTTGCATTAAAATAATGGGGTTGTCTTTAAAGTTGTATATCAACAACCTCGTCAGGTTGATAGCTTCAACGAAAAATGTCTCTGGTTTGTGTCAAATACTGATTTTTTAGTCAAATGTTTCATAAAAACTCGTTCTCAAATTTATTCCACATTTCATGGAGACACCGTATATCACATGAAACAAATTTGATGAATTACTACAAACCCCAGTCCAAGTTTGTAACTACAAAGACATGGAAACGTTTCCTTTTTTTTTTAAATTCATATGTTACGTTTTTACCTTCATGTGACCAATGAATTGCAATATATTAAACAGATACGTTCATAATACTTTTTTGTCACTACTCTGCTTTTATTAATAAGAATATTATTAACACTTAAACAAAAGGCATAACGATAAAATTGATGTTTTTAGGTGAATCGTGTGAAACTAACACTGGAATATTAAATTTTAACTACATTTTCAGAAATATTAACGGTTCAAATAAAATATTATAGACTTAAAATGGACACTTATTAATACGGAGGACCTCTTCTTAATAGTTTCAGGTTGTTTATGTTGAAAAACCTTTATGCCACCTGTAAACCCATCAATAATTTTTTTACATTGGAATACGTTTTTCATAAACGAAAGTTTGTTATTACAAAAATAAATTATCAATTTTTTGCAGTATAAACACATTTTGCTCCACACTGTCAACACACCATAGCATATTAACCAAATATGCTCTAACAATCAGTTCTATTTGAAGTCGAAAACTCTGAAAATTGTCGAACAATTCCATTTGTAGATGAAAATCGCAGTATTAATATTCGACATTTTCTCAACAAATATTCTGTCACTTGTAGTTAGATATAATCTACACAAAAATTGAAAGATCTTTTACAACGCGCCGATAATATTGGGTAGATTCTCTTTAGTTCTTTGCTCGTAAAAATACGACTATAAACGTGAATTTTTAAATTTATAAATGTGTTTGATAGGATTTAATTTTATATTGAAAACGAGCTCATTAGAGACGATAATATGCAATCCTACCCCATCAACATTAGCAAGTTCTCAATATTTTCTTTTCGTAAAACGATATATATTTTTTAAATATGTAGCATTATACAGGATGCTGGAAAAATGGCGTACCGACTTAATGACACGTTGTTGAGGACTGTTTATAACACAGAGAAAAAATAATTAAAAAATTCTTGGGTCCAAATGTAGAAAATATAGCCCTTCAAAATTTAACTTTTATTTTCAATATTTCACCATATTCTACTAATTCACCACTTAGTGTTGGATATATGAAATCAATTAGACTTCCATTATTCAAAATAATTTTGGAGGTATCTTGTTTTCATCCACAGTTTTCTTCATTTTATAATATAACAAAAAGTTGTTTAGGATGAATTGGAAAAATGTGGCTAATTTTTAGAGTTTTTTGATTTATCGGTCTAAATCGATATTTTGTTTCTGTAAGTGAACCTCAAATTGACGCAAAGTCTGTTTATAATAAGGTCTGAGCGTGTCAATTCCCGCCAACGGCCATTTTAAATTATTTGCCCTATTTTGACGTCATCCAGGTCGAAGGGGTCGCCAACACACAACACAATTAACAAACAACGGGCTATGACCTTGCCCTGTTCCTACGTCACAATTTCCCTCCCCGCTGTAAGAGATGGCATCATCGGTTTACCCCTACACTCAGACCTTACTATTAACAGACTTTGAAATTGACGTAAGAAATTTTTGAATGATTTTTCCCGAACTTGGACTTGTGAACTTATTTTTAGCTAAAAAAAAAAAACTGACTTGAAATCTACAGTAACGTTCACAATCAGTAGTACAGCTTAAATATGATAGAATAGAACTATCATATATCAGGAAAGGTGTTTTTTTTTTTATTAGTTGGTATTAAAGCTAATGAACGTGAAGTTAAATGATTTTTATTTTCATTTCTTCTTGAGGTTTGTTCCTTAATGAAGCAGACATTTCGATTTTTAATTTTGAATGGTTTTCACTATATATACATCAATAATTCAATACCTGTATTTCACCCCGAAGAAATCAATTTACTAGGGGAGAGTGAATTATATCTGACTCACAAGACATCCAGTCGATATTTAAAGTCTTACTACTAATAAAGCATAATTTTTGGATTGAACACAACTTTGAATACTGAAAAAAATGCAACAAAGTTTGTTAAAAAACAAACATTTTCTTGAGAATTAACAAAATGTATTAAAGCGTATTGGTATGTTGCTGCCCTAATGTTGATCAAAGTGAAAATGTGTCAATGTACACCATTTTGGATCTGATTTTTTTTTTAATTAAATGTTAATATTACTTTTATAATCAAGACTACGGCATGAAAGTAATTTTTGATATAGTTATAGGAGCAAAATGACATGTTGATATTAACACTGTCGCGTAACTTTTAAACAATCCATATTACTTTTTTTAAACAACCTATGCTAATTAAACTCCGTGTTTCTAAAATCTATAAAACTGTTTTTGATCTGCGATCTATATAAAATTTAATGCTCAACAAAATGTCCATACATTTTTTGTCATACAAGTGTGCTTAGCCTCAAAAATACACTGACCGGCAAAAAAAACGGTCACCCTGAAAAATTTTGCAAAACTTTAAAAATTATTAATTTAACTAGTGATCGTTGTTTTATTAAAGAACCATTCATTCACTATTGACACATGATGTATAAATTAGCAAAAAAAAAGAAGACAAATAAACGCAGAATTAAATTTAATTTAACAAAATAACATAAATCGAGCGACAATTTGAGGAACGTCTGTAAGAGTTAATGGAATTGTTTTCGCCTGAAAACGTTTATTAATTGCCAAACTTATAATCAAATGATGAAAAACGCTGTTTACAACAGCCTCCTTTATTTATTTTTTTTTTAAGAAAATATCGTACTTGGTCTGTTTCTGTTATTTTGTTAAATTAAATTTAATTCTGCGTTTATTTGTTTTCTTTTATTGCTAATTTGTACATCATGTGTCAACAGTGAATGGTTCTTTAATAAAATAACGATCACTAGTAAATTAATAATTTTTAAAGTGGTTTTGCGAAATTTTTCAGGGTGGCCGGTTTTTTTTTGCCGTTCAGTGAATTCTGAATTCTTACTCGTAGTAAGAATTCCAATGCTTTGACAGACAAATAACTATTTAAGTCTTTTGCACATCGTTTTAAAAATTCCGCATTTATTAGAATATATTTTATAAACCTAACAGACTTGATTAAAAAATATGTCTAACATCACATTAAAATTTATGATGATGGCGTATTATCAAGAGTATAGATAAAGTAACACACTATAAACAACAATCTTTATGCGTCCAAAAATAAGAGCACTGGGCGAAAAGGTCACACAACAAGAATTGCAACCACTGTTTTTCATTTAGCAAAGTATTTATGTCCATTGCTCTTAGGCAATATGCGTTAGCCAAGGTTTTTTTTAGTTAGATCATATTCTCTTACTTTTTAAAGCTTGTAATTCATCGTTACATTTTGTGACAGTATATGCAAGAAATTTTAGATTTACTCATTACAAACACTTTAAGAAAAACATTGCATATACATTACCTTTAATATTTTTTTAACAAATCTTACCATTATTGAAAAACGAAATTGTAATTTTTAGGCAATTTTTCTCAAATAGCATTACGGTTTACAATTTTAAACCATCAACGTTTGTTTAATATGGTCGAAAATGAAGAATAATAAAAGGGTTTGATTCCATTTTCTGTAATTTAGAACAACATAATGTTATAGAATACTTGTATGAGAAGCATACACTAAGCACTCAGAAATTAAAGACAGTTTTTTTATATACAGGGTGAGTTACTAAGCGCTCATTAATTTTTAGAGATGGAAAAAAAGTCAGAATCCGAAGTTAAATGGCTCTTTGACAAGCAGATATAAAAATTATTTTCGACTATACAACGTGTGTTGTTTTCAAACAATAGTACACAACTCGTGTTTCTTATATATAGAATACCCTATATATTTTTACATATTCTATTAACCTGTTTCTAATAAGCTTTGTAACCGCTGTTTATTTTTGGAATTCCCATGAGACGTTGCCACGTTATTCTCAATTTTTTGAACATTCATCAATGCACGGATTCACAAAAAAATCACAATAACGCTATATTTAAGATTCTTCACACACTGCACAATTTTTTGAGTTTTTACAAATAGAACACCCTGTATTTTATGACTGCATCTTACTTTCTTTAGTTTCTAAGTGTAAACCAAAGAAGTATACTAATCGAGTCCATTGGGCGACTTGCCAATTTCATGTTTTTCGACGTTTCATGACCCCTAGAGTACGAAAAAAGTAATCTCTCGTTTCCGCCCGCCCGTCTGTCTGTCTGTCCGGCGTCTGTGTCGATTTTTATTAGACGCGTAATCTTTGAAACTACTGAATCAATTGGTGTCAAATTTTGTATATATATTAGGAATATCTGGCTAATCATCCCCAACAATAATTCGATGACGTCATTTCAAAGAATTCTGTTATAAAATGTTGTTTTTCCTAAACGTCCAATGTTCACAAAAAAATTAACCCAGTATAATAACAGTTTACCATTAACGTTGGATATATCGTCCGCGACCCAATAGGTTGTGATGCTGCTACACGTGGACTGGCGATCGCACGTTCTATGCCAAACTTTTTGCCTCTTTTGCTCTCGTGCTGTGCATTATCTATCTTTATGACGTCATTGATCAAATTCAGAACGAGCCACCCCATTTTCTCGAAAATGTGAGAATACACACGTCTTTATTTAATTAGAACTATAATATTCAGAACATTTTGTTTGATTGTTACTTAATTAATAATTTTGGTCCTCATTCAAGTCAAACAAATTTCTACGTGACATTCTTCCGATGTATAAACATAAATACTTATAAGTTAAAGCTTATTATTGCTGAGTGACCATTTTTTCTAGTTGGTTAGTTAAAAATAACTAAAGTTTGCTTCCAAATTATCAAAACCAAAAAACTAACTATATATGTTTAAGACTGCTATTAAATTATACTATTTCAGGCGTGAAGCTTCTCGTAAATAACCCTACATAAAAAATATTTTACAAAAAAAAAAACAGAATCAGATGAAGTTATATTAAAAAAATCCGAAATTTAGATTTTTGAAATTGTTATAATTATAAACATTGTATATGTATTAAAACATAATTTTCTTTATACCATAATAAAGTGTGCATCATTATTAATCTTTTTATGAGATATTGTAACCTACGTTTTAAAAATAACCCTACTGCAATTTTTTGTGAACCCTTCCTTTCTTAAAAAAATTCAAGAAAATTGCAACGTCGCATCAGAAGTTAGAAAATAAACTATTGTTTTAAAACCTAAGAAAATATCAATTAGAACATATAAAAATATCTAGGTAATCCTATTTGAAAAAAAAAAGTTGTGTTACGCCTTAAAAACTGAATCCTTTGTACAGTTGAAAATAATTTTACTATATATATGCTCCTCGAAGAACTGCACAACTTTGGTTTTAGACTTTTTTCCATTTCTAATGAGATATCCGAGGAGTGCCCGCTTAGTGACTCACCATGTTATATGTATATTGTGCACTGCTGCTTGCATTCTTAGAATAAATTGCTAAAACTAAATTTTGAATTATAGATAGAAAAGAACAATGCGATACAACGACCATTAATTCTTATTTTATATATCAAGTCAAATCGGTAAGTTCCGTGTTTCCTAGATAGTGAAGCTGAATATACCTACCAGAAAGAACTGCGTAATTGCCATAAATTAATGTTCGAGAGGGGGTTTAAAAATGTGCTCGTATTAGGGTAAAAATGTAAACAAAAAATAAATAATAATAACTGAGCATGCAGTAGTTACTTCTGCGAACATGAAATCTATAAAATACAGAAGTTGTTAATTGTAGTCAAATACAAGTAGTTACAAGAGTGAATTATTACATTTAAAATATTTAATTTGTAATTGGTTAGATTGCAGATGTAAATTAATGATTCAGATGAATAAATTCTGTTAAAATTTAGCTGCAAATAGAAAGATTATTATTATCGTAAATAACAATTTTATAAAAAAAAAATGCTCAGCAGCTGAATTCGAACAGAACTTTAGTAACAACTACTTTGTTAAAATAAAAACATCTTGCAATTGCTGTTACTAGAAAAATAAATGTTCGAACTTCAAAATAGGCATGCGAACACTTTGGTAAAATATTGTCCAGTATAATCATAATTTGATATTTATAACAAAACTTCAACATGTGTTATAGATATTTGGATACAGTATCGCAGGTGCATTATTTTCGTGTGGTATTTCTCAATGTCTTTATAATTTAGACATCTAAAGTAGAGTTAATTAAAATCAATAACATAAATAACATCATAAAGATGGGTATAAAATTGCAAAAAATATTTTCAAATTTTAAAACCAGACTATATCACGTTTATAAATTCAAAAAATAAATCATTGTACAAACAAGAGTCTGGTTGCATTTGCTGCTTACATGCAAAAATGGTAAACTATTTTGCTGTTAAGAAGTGTGAGAATTAATGAAATGCAAGAACAGTGAATGTTCTTTATTTTTCTGATGATCTATCACACATAACCACTAGAAATTTGTTCTGAAAGTTTTGAATGTGATCGTGTAATAAGGTTTAAAAATTTGGGTAATAAAATAATGTATTTTCAATGACCCAAAAATTTGATCCATCATTCATACCTACTTGAATGTGTGTGATGTGAAACTGCGGAATATACAGTTCCTATCTTTAGCAATGAAAGATTTTCTTGTAGAAATGTGAAAAATAATTATCCATTCATCCATCTTAATTTTACACTTCAAACAAAGATGCCGATTTTACCTTAGCACTCGCTTGCCTCTCCGGAAAGCAAAGAAATTCGTTGCTAGATGTTTTTATAATTACTATTAGTAAATCGGTTTTCAAAAAAAATGTGGTACAATAATATCGTAGTAACATCATTAAGATTCCAATTTTAAACAGTCCCTTCTCTTCCTGTACTTACCTGTAGTCTGTAATTGGGATCTGCCGCATGTGCAGCTAAAAACGGATCATAATAAACGCTGCCATCTACTGGTAATGTGTTGAGAACAGGTGTATAACCATGCAAGGCTCCTGCTAAAGGTGTAGGATGTCTTGCGAATGCTGCTGCAGCTGCTGCAGCGGCAGCTGGATACGCTGCTCGTGCTCTTCCTCTCTGGATAGCAGCCACTCCCGCTCTTAACGTAGCATCTGACCATTGTATCACCGGAACTGCAACGCCAATGCATTTATTAGTACTGTACTCATTTTAAAATAATGCATAAAAACTACCTGCTGGAAGTGTTGGTGGTTTTTTAGTTTGTACTCTTGCGGTTGCATTATTAACCTATTAGTAAAAGAAAACAAAACATAAATACATGATTTTACTCAAATCTAATATAACCACTTATTTTGTCTCGTTACTATACAAAACAAGTGACTACATTAGATACAGTAAGAATCAGTCAAATTATGTTTGCAATATTTGACTATCCTCACTGGTGCCTGTTGATTTACATTACTACTTCTTTTTAAATTAAAAAAAAAACTCACATTACTCGGATATCGTAATTTTTAAGCAGATGTACTTTTGTGGACCCTAATATCACCAAATTTCTTTTAAATTTTATGACGTTAATAATTACACTTTTTACAGCAAATCACATTTTTCCTACATTACGATACAACTTATTTATTATCAAACAAATTATTTTTACTGAATTTCCCAAGCAACATGAATTTTTTCTTACAAAATTATCTCCTAAATATGTTATTTGTGACAATCGCTGTAAGGTATTCATAATGCAAGGCTAATTTCATAATATGAAAAATTATGGAATGAAAATAAACTAAATTTATTTTTAATACTTGATAAGCTGCCAAAACATCGAGTATTAACAGGTAAGAAAAAAAATTTTTACATCACATAACTGATTCCACTGAAATTTTTTCGAATTAAAATATAGAAGCAACAATAAACAATCCAAGTAAAATCTATTATCATTACATTTCCTGTTAGGCTTTTTTAACGCAGCAATTAAATATTTACTTTTCTGCTCCTCGCAAAAACTAAAATAAAGCATGATTTTACGGTTACGATATATTTTTTATTTGTCCAATTTGCACCAAACGATCAGGCAGATTTTCATCTTTAACAATTAAAAAATGGAAGGTTCAGAAAATTACAACACTACTTGCTAAAACGTGTTGTTTAAAGATAATGCAATTTATGGCACCATAGTTGCAATTTATTGCGCACATAATTTTCTAGGAATATTATAAAGAATTCGTATTTTTGAAAGGCACACAAAGTTACAAAGCAATGTGCTTTATTTTCTTTGTGACTATTTCATGTTTTTTTTAACAAGAATAAAAGAATAAAAAATGAACTTTAACAACCAAAGGAGAAATAGAATATTATCCCTTTGTCGCCACAGAGATGTTACAAATATTCTGTTGGTTAATTATCAACTCCGTTATACATATTGTTTTTACAGAGGAAGGAGTTTTTAGTTCTAATGTAATCAGATTTTGTTCCATTGTATTTACATATTATTTCTTTTTTTATGATGAAACTAATTAACTAGGCCTAGCAACTTTAGGAACATTTACGCTGCAATACAGTATTTAATAATTTTTTTCTTAGTTTTGTTTATAACTTACCTCTCAATATTAATGACAAAACATGACATATTTATACTTCTACACTTATTTTTGAAGCTATACAAAAAGTAATCACAAAATTGGTGACAAGCATTTTCCACCAACTTTGCATCTAGCCTTTACCATTTTGGACAGATTCACCCTGGTCTACGCTCTATCAAATGCATACTTCCGTATTGTATTATTTAACTGAGAATACAAAATGATACAACTCACAAAATATGAGAATCTGATGAATAAAAATCAGCTATTTGCAAATTATTAACAACTGACTACAACAAGTTTTGATTAATGTGTACATAAACACCGATTATAAATCTAAAAGTGCACCGTGTTATTTATTGACAACTATTCTGGTGTTAGGTAATAGATATTAACATTATTAACGTTTTGCATATTCATATTCATTTTTATATTGATATTGCATTTAGTTTTTAAAGCATTGGTTATTCATAAATATTGATAATTACGTGTAATTTTTGTTTGGATTGCCCATTCTTGCTTGTAAAGCTTACGATAACTTAACCTAGGTCTAAAAACTAAGTGTCTTAAGCCTAAGGTACGTGTGGTACTGGTGGCTGGAACGGCACCACAGCCACCGTCCCGAATTGGGGGCCATGGCGTCGCTCCGCTGGCCTTATCCACTTACCTCCTCGGCGGCCCGTGAACGGGAGGGAGGGGGATCGGAACTACAACTGTCGCGTCATCATCGCAAGTTCGCAAGCCAATTAAATGGCCGACACGGTCTAGAGACAACGTACACACATTGGAGAACCGACAGCTGAGAGTGACTTACAGAACTGATACTGATAACTGAGAGTGTGTGCGGCAAAAGAACGTCAAAACAACACGTGTGAAGCGGGGAGGTGCTACCGGTTAGTCACTAAAGCCAGCAAGCCAGCCACACGGGGGTTTTGACCTTGTTTTACCGGGGAGGGACGGGACAGGCCAGTGCTACACGTAGAGCTATATCATGCACACCTCTATTTTTCTTCCCTCAACCACGGTGCCGTGTAGTCGGTCTCGTGCGCGCTCCGCATCAGCACTATTTGCGAATGTTACAAAACCGAACCCCTGCATGCAGAGACAGACAAGACATGCATTATAAACAGCTCTTCAAACTCGTGCAATGACATGATGACGTTAGACATTAGACATGCCTCTGTCTAGAAGCCTCATTCCACACTCGCTCACTAGTCTTGGCTCTCGGGTTAGACTACTTTACACTGTTAAGCCTCAAGTCGGCGGCGGCATTCTCTCCACGCATCATCAACGTGACGGGAGTGCGCCAGTGCGCCTAGCTATGTACACTACCACTCGCCGCCTCTCTGCTCATATCCATCTACTCGAACCGGCCGCCAGCCGCCGTCCCCGACGGATCGGGGGCGGTCGGAAGACGGCGCCTCTCTCGCTCGCGCTACGATGATCCCCGATCTGTGTGTCTCACATAGATAGGCCCTCGCCTTCGCATCGCATCAATTCACCACACTGAGAAAGACGCCGAACCTCATTTCCTCTACCTCGATGGAAACGTAATTCGATTCAAAATCTATTTCCTCCAGGACCTACACCTATTCCATCAAAAGGATACTGCAAAACGATTCATCATTACTTCCAACACCGTCACTTCTTCACTTACAAACTTTATTTAGTCCACATCATTCTTTCCCCTCTGAGTGCACTACCAAAATTAAAATACATTGCCCTAATGAATTAACGCACCACTTGGAAAATAATTTTAAAAATTCGTTTCTGTTATAATCGATTAGTACGGATAAATCCACTACTTTGTACAATGTGTCACAATGTGTTCTTACTCAATAAATAAGAGAACAATGAAATTAGTTTATGTATCTGCTATAAAACCATTAATGTACATTTTTTCACTTATTTCTCAAAAATGCGTGTTATACCGTTATTAATATTTTCTCGGCTGGTCCAGAATCACCACCCTTTGTTCAAATAAGGGTCATAATATAGAATTCCAGGAATAAACTTGATCAAAATTATCTTTGGTTTGTTGAAAGATAGTGAATCGAACACAAATTTAATTGTCAGAGTATGTTACACGAAGTCCAATGTATTACGAACCGGTATTTTTTTTTTACCCAAAGTGAGTGAATTTGATTTACAATTTCTTCAAACGGCAATATGAAGAATATAAGTATGTAATCATTTTGTATTGTTATTGCTTCCTCCACTTTTTGTTTAACTTGACGGGACGTAACCTTTGTCGAAAATGTTTGGTGTTTTATTGTAAGGTGTTCGTTTATTATTTTCACTATTAATTAAAAACACATCCAAAGCCAAAGCTGTCGTTAAATACATGTTATTCCATACAATGAAATATATACCTACTACCTATAGCGTCCAAACACATCTACCATTTCATTGATTTTATTAATATAACGGAAACTACGATTCATTAAATCTAGATGTTTTCTGGAAAACTGAAGGCAAGCAAGCTGTGTGGTATTCTACACCTGAAATTGGATCAGCTAGTGAAGCTTGGGGTGGATATTACTCTCAATAAGAGGATTTCACACCATTTCAGTTGTCACTTGAACGTTGTGTAACAAAGTGTATCCGCCTTGAGGTTGTATCACTAATAAGTGTCAAGCCTTACCTGAACTAGCGAAAAGTGGTACAACTGAAATTTCTCATTCATAGTGATCTTAAACGGTGTTTTGGCAAGCAATACACATAAATCAGATGATTTTATTCTTACATTCTTAGGGATAGTGGTAACAGTCTTCCACGGTTTCGTACAATCATATCTTTTTTATTTTTAGGTAAAAACAATAAACAAAATGTAATTGCAACAACTGCATTAATACAAACGAGCTGTAAAAATAATTTACACTTTATTTTAGAAAAATATACATGGTGCCGTTAATTTTTTAGAGCAGAGTATTATTGCAAAGGAAACCTATCTTTAAAATGCATGATCAAAGTTAAGAAGTAGAAGGCGGTTGTTAGACACACACACGTAGATATAGAAATGGGTTTGGAGTTATCACGATCTACTACGATTTGGAGCAAAAGTAATTCCATTGTACCCTTTTATATCGTTTCATTTCTCAGTGAGTAGATACGAAGGTCTCAAAGCCTAAATAGCTAGAACACACAACTCAAAGCCACCGTTTGAAACCAACACAGAACAGAATACAAACAGTACGGGAAACTGACAAGGCAGAAGGAACTAACAGATTCGAGCCTGCACTGGGGCACTCTGTACTTCTTCAGGTGATAGGCTGCAGGATTTTAATATTAATTATTTCATTGAAATAGATTTCAACCTGCAGTGATCGTCCTGAAGCCAGATTTTAATAAGTAAATGGATATGAAGATCGGACAGATCATGTCAAATCAAAGACGAACTCAAATAGCTGCTACAGCACAATCATTATATGAAAAAAACCAAATCTCACTACGCCATCATATGTCATATGTTTAGTAAAAGTCATCAAATTGCACTTGAACGATATTTGTATATAAGATAATACGTATGTATTTATAGTAAATAACATGCATCATATAATAATTACACTGCGATGTAGAATATATTGTGTGAAAGAGCCTACTCAGCTTTGCTGCTATCAAATCTAAGGTGTTGTTATTTACGAGGGTGTTAATCACTGAAAAAAGCCCATAGACAAGTGCAATATGCCCATCCAACAGTCTAATCAATTGTGCCAATCACAATACATTTAAATATAATGAAAAAAAATATATATACTAAAGTTACAACATTTTCCAATTTCTCCGACATTCATGCATATTAAAATATCTGCTACTGCTGCTGAACATCTTTGTGTTCGTCAGGTTATTTATAAACTTGAGTTGACTCATTACAATAAAATTGTACACCTATCAATTAGGTCAATGAATTATTAAACTCGTATTGTAAAAAAACGCACACATTCACTTTGTTGAAATCCATTCAGTAAGAAAAATCACAAACTCAAAGTCTGTCTAACACATACTACACACCTAGTATGAATTTTATAACTTTATAAAGTGAAATATCAACCAACACGAAATGCGAACAATGACTATTAACCACGAAATAGGTTTATAAAATTTAACCAAGAACTTTTTAATTTTACAATCTACATATCACTATATCATGCATACATCTTTATTTCGGCACCAAAAAGTTTCTAACAAAAAGTATCAATAAACTTCAAACGTGTTAGATACAACATGCAAAATATTACTTACATTACTATTATTCTGGACATTTTTAACACAAACATAATCGTATCTCATTCCTAATCATATGTCAAAACCAATCTAGGTAATCTAAAAACTTACTTGTGCTTAGTTCAAATTAACACTTGATAATACCACATATAAAGCTGTAAGATATTATCATCGCTCTCTAACAGATTACTACGCACAACAAATTCTGTAAAAATTCGAAATTAACATGCGAAAGAACTTTAGTTGCAACCGTGGAAAAAATAACTACGTTCACGTATTGATACGGATGCTAATACACAAGAATTTTATACAGCTGTGATTTATTATAAAATTCAGTACTACTTAATGAACACTTCATTTCATGATTCCATAATCAAGATAATTTTAAAATTAGTTTCCTCCCGGATCTAATTACAAACAGATATATAATTGTACATTTACCTTAAAAGCATTGTAATTTATAACTTTTGTGAATCTCTGCAATAATTAATACAAAGATAATGATTTATCCAGGGCTACAACCAAGAACGTGAACAATGCGTCTAAACTGTTCAATTCTCATAATACGTAAGTCGAAACTTTCTAGTTTTTAGTTTTGATAGCAGCTGAAATTCATTTATATAAATGCAAAATTCTTAGTACCTTTTCATTCATAACCAAACAAAAAACAGAAAACTTGTAACTCATGCTTATGCTTAAAAGTTTATAAGTAACACTAAAACAAATCAGTGTTAAAGTTTAAACTGTATAAAGCAAAACTGCAAAATAAAGTTTATAAGTATGTACAATGTTAACGAAGATGAAAGACAAAAAAGAAAACTAAACACAAAACAAAAATGGCAGAAGAAACAAAATGGCAGTTACATGATATCTAGTTAAAGTGAATAATGCACAGTCTACAGGCTTTAAAAGTGACTAAAATCCCCAATAAACTCATTTAACAATCTTACATAAATTGTTAGCTACCAATTTCCTGAAAAAAAACATGAACAATGAATGTAAATAAATAGCAAAACAATAAACTCAAATAATAGTTATAATGCTAGATTAGTTTGAAAAGAATTCAAGACAAATAATACAAATACAGAAATTCAAAGAGTTATTGCAGCAAAACAGATAAATACAAATACAACGTGTGTGATAAACAAAAGCGGGTTAATTAAGTTGGAAACTAAAAACTATAAGATATGAATACAGTGGCACTGACTCGTCGAAACATTAAGAATATGTGACGTAAGAACGAGACATCAAGACTGAAACTGAAATTCTCCTTTATATAAAAATATTCCAAAAAGGATTTTGGAGTATTTTTAATTAGAGAAACATCTGCAATAACCTATAAAAAGTTTAATAGCAACATAGCTGGCTCAAGATAGTACTGTATTTATAATAGTGTATATATGAACATACCTTTGATCCTCTTTCGTTGAAAATTATTTCTACGTCAAGTATTGGGCCAAATTGCTGAAAAAACAAGATCGTTTAATCCATTTTGGAAATCAAAACAAGAAGGAAAGTCTTTTCGCAACAAATTAATACAACAATTTTTATCTTGCTAATAAAAGTTAGCTTCGATGAAATTAAACGTTTCAAGTTGAGTGTCTGGATTCTGTCCAATTCTATAAACAAGCACAACAATGCATATATACAACATATTATGAATTTATCTCGCTTAAGTACTTGAGTTCACAATAACTTGAAGGGAAACACAAGTTTGCTACTCTAGGTAATACCGAAGGTGCAATTATTTTGTGAATTGTGTTCTTTACGATTCAGTATTAGGAAAATTGAAATAGCTTTGCACTTCCTCAGTTAGAACTATTTCATATCTTGAAACAACAAAACGAAAAAAACCTGTAAACCTCATTCCAAATGAGTATTTTCGTAGCTGGATTTTGGCTTTTAACAACTTACACAACAATTATTTTCACACGTTACTATATATATAAATAGTTTTATTTACATCAGCGTTACTGATAGGCGAAAAATCAATCAAATCTATAGAACAACAGTTAGCGGGAAGTCATATTTACCTCGAATAGTACACAGTTAATAGTTTATTATTTAAAAAACAGGAAAATATACCCAGGTACCCGGCAAAGTCGCTTAAGTTGTAAATTTGTTGAACTACCTCGAAATTCGAAAAGGTTTCTGTTGATATGCTTGGTAATCAAGTATTAGACCCAGACAACAAAATTTGCTTTTGTAAATTCTAGTTATATTACAATTCACATACCACACAGAAATCACACACACGCAAGTCAATTCTAGTACAAAAAAACTAACTTTGCTATTCGCACTCACTTAAAAGATAACACCTATTAAAAATTACTAGTTAAAAGTAGGTATCGCTTCAACGATTGATGACTGAAGGCGCGAATTTTCTTCTTGACATTTTTCATTAGATTTTACAGAATGTTGTCCCCAATGCTTGCTATGCAGGTGCGCTGTATTTTCTTAATTCAGCTTTCACTGATTTCCAATGACTATCCAGTGGTCGACGTTGTGGGCAGTTTGGAGGTTCATATCTTTTCTTATAAAATACATACTTTTGGCATGAAGGTACTCCTGGGTTGCTTTGGCGAAATCTGCAGTGGCCACATCAGGTCAAAACACCAAATCATTCTGATGCTGCCTTATAAACGGTATTAGTCGTCCTTTTAAACACTTCTGGAGATAAATTTCACTGTTTACTGTGCCTTTGGTGATCAATGGGCGTGGTTCGTTTGCTACAGAGCAGATTACCACATCTCAAGAATTTTTCATCAAATTTGTCACAAAAAAGATGTCTTCTTCAAGAACACTAGTTTTATTTTTGATGATATGATATTGTACACCCGGTAGTGTGGAAAAGTCTTTCTTTACCATACGCTTCGTCGTTCATCAAAATGCACATGTTACTCAGACCGTAGAGTTGTTGTTGGAAGTTTCCGTGAGCGTTTATTGCCGTATTAAATCGTTTTGTGGCTTGTCTTGGGCCTTTTACTTTCTTATATGTTCTTAAGCCCTGTCATACCTTTACTCTTGAACCACCCTCTTGCTAGTTCCTACTTGTTTAGCGCCATATGTACTCATAAATTGCATAAGGCAACCGCAATTTTAAATTCTAGTCTTTGGTTAGAAGGTTCTTTTTCTAAGTTTGTCAGTGACTCTTCGGTGAATCGTTTGATAACATTTCGCACCGTGGCACTATAAGAATTTATCAATTTTCCTTTAAAAGCAAATGATGACTCAACGCAAAAATTTTTCTCTCTAACTTTTTCGTTTCTCACTCATTGTATAATCGCTTCAGCTAAAACACAAGTGGACAACGTTAACCACTATTAAAATCACGCTATTCGTGTAAAAAAACTTTTCGGAAGAGTCGTCACATGAACAGCATTTTATTAAAATAGATTTTCCTGTAGTTGAAAAAAGCTTTAAGCGTCCTTTATAGTACTACAAACCTCTTCTACTAACAAATTAACCGACATCTGTATAAACAGGAAAGAACTTCACGTATCTCAAAGTGAATTGCTAGTTTACAACACTGTACGTACGTCTGCAAACTCGAAAGCATGAATATGTCAAAATGAAGGCAGAAACAATACGCCGTTAAGGAGGATTATAACTTTTAATCTTGAATTTGCTTCTCATAAATGGGTGTACAACTTTTCGAACTTTTTCCTTAATACTTGACACAGGAACTACTTCACTGAAAGTTTTTGTTCATAGCCCCCATTTTTATTTACAACCAAGATCTTTATTTCTAATTTGAGTCTTTGTCTATCAAAATATTTTTTAATGTTTTTTTAAACTAATCAATATTTTAAACAAACATTTTAGACGATATCCTATTTATATTCGTCTGTAATTTTCTTATTAACCTATTTTTTGTTTTTTTTTTTTTGTCAATATTAATTTTTATGTGCTACTTATACAATACCAGTCAAGCCCAGCACATAACAAATACAATCTTCAAACTTTTTAATTCGGATCTCAACATTGTAAATCTAAGACTGAATAGTCGTATTTGGAAATATTCAAACGGTCATTAGATCTACAGATAGACATTCAAAATTGGATTCGTTAAATAGTCTCAATTGCCCAGCTGACAACAAACAATATTTAATCGAATTATACAACAATTCCGACAATTAATAGTATCTATAAACACATCTTGACACTGCCTATTCAAAACATTATTGAATGTAGCTTACAGTACATATATGAAAGTATGTATACACTTATTATTCAACTAACGTATAATGAGACGGTTACTCATTTGGGTGAAGTTAACGACACGAGCCGTAGGCGAGTTTGGTAAATTGTTCGAATGACCAATTGCCATTATGTTCAAGTAGGACTTTTCTATCGCTAGCCACAAAGAAATACACCTGTACTTATTTTTTAATTTTTTTTTTTTTTTCAACTACAAAATGCAAAATTTAAGATTTGCTGTGTCTTAGTATCATCGATGATTTTGCAACTGCAATTTTGCGAATGGTTTTTCTTTATTTCTAAATTTATGTACCTAAAACACAAATTTTATATTTTTTTTTAGCAGCCAATTCAATAACGAAGTACCAGTTGTTTTAAATTCAAAAATATTTTTTCCCTCCGAAAATACCGAAGTTAACACAAAATAAAGAAAAGCGACACTCTGAAATGTATAAATTTGCGAAAATTTTGCATTGGAGAAAAGATTCAGTTTTAGTTATTCAATTTAAATGTTGAGTTGACAAGTTTACAACGAAAGCGACTTCACAATTTGAAAAATTCATAATAACGGTTTATGAACTTACCCCGAACATCGCCCGGAGATCCGGGTCTCTAAATCGAAAAGGAATGTTCGAAACGTGTAGCCTCTTGGGCTGATTTTTGGCGGGGTCTATGGCTGCGGGCGTTCCTGATGTATTTGTTTCAGATGCCTCCGACGTCGGGGGCGCTACGTTACCGTTCGTCTCTGTTTCTTGGGGTTGTTGATCGCATTTGTACGGTTGTTGGTTCTGTGTTAATGCTGGGCTATTTACTATACTGACAGTCGGTTGTTCGCCGGTGGTGGTCGACTGGGGCGGAGGGGGGCTAAATGGCGGCCCCGTGCCCGTTGCTGTCGTACCCGTTGGCGGCGGCAGTAGTGGTACTTGGGCTTTTTCGTCGGCAGGTTTCACATCGCCATTCTGTGCAGGGAAACCTGTCGGCGTCGCCGCTCCGAACGGCGCTGACATACCCGTCTGAACCATGTGCTGAAAAAATAAATTCATCTTAGCAATGCCAATAGTTTCCAAATAAGGTTAGCCTAAAGCGAGAGCAAGGCGTATAGAAGACGCCTAAACAAGTCGTGGTTTGCCCGCAATGATACTGTTGTTATCGGATCAGATTGATATTTTACTTTACATTAAAATTTTTATATTTACTTATCCTTGGACCTCTTCTGCCAAATAATTTCATGTAAAACAGAAGCAAATCCAAAACAGCAACAGCATTACGGAAAGGAAAGTATCACATGAGTTTTTTATATATATATATATATATATATATATATACATAATTAATATACTTGAACACGACTCTTTTTATTCTTCTTTTATTCATCTTAGTTGTGGACGATATACATTACGAGTTTTTATAATGGAAACACCACAATATAATTTATCATTAAAGAAGACGTCTAGTAAGCTAAAATTGGCTTGGACCAAACATTTACGAAAGGTGCCACTAAACACATGTCCAAACAATACATTTCGTTGCAACTTTTGTGCACCTTTTTAAAAAACGTAATTCAAACTTAAACCGTTATGCCAAAAAACGATAGCTAGCACTTTTAATTAGTGTATCCCAATATGGCTTATTGCACACGTCAGTCGCTACACCAATTAGTTTACTTATATGAACACAAAGTATTCATGAAATGGAAGACGTCCACTTTTATAAGGAAACTAAGGACAAGAAGGAGAAAAAGTTCGGACGTGAAGAGAAAGTAGTGGAGGTAAATCTCTTCTTTCCCTTTATTGCCAGAAGCTTAACCAAGTATATATATAAAAAAAAACATGTGAAGAATTTACGCTGCAGATCTTAACTAAAAATATTACACTAAAAGGTTAAAGATATGTTAAAAAGGTTACTTAAGAAAAAATTTGGATATTTATTACATTGCTTTTATGAAATTACTGCGATTTAGCACATATTATCAAATAAGTGATTTGTTAGCACTATATTGCTAACAAGCTTTATGTGTTTACTTCAAAAACTAAATCCGCGGGCTGATACTGCGTTTCGCCTAGTTTAAAAGGTTGATGAATATCCGCCACAATAGGTATATTTTTGGCTTTTTGCCACTTTCTTACGTGATAATCTAAAACACTCCAACAAGCTTTAATTAACAAGAAACTTTAAAAATATCTAAGCAAGTTATGCGAGACGTACTTGTTAATAGAAATAATTCCATAATTTGTAATGATAAATTAATTATAACATTAAAAAGTAGGTTGACAACAGACCCACTAGCCCAAATTAAGTCCCTGCTTTTTTATTCAAAATATGTACTTGTTAAATTGAATACGTATACCTAGTAATTGTTCTAGTTAGTACAGGATGTTCAAAACATGGTGCACCAACGCTATGACATGTTGTTCAGGACCATTTATGGAGCAAAGAAAAAATAATTTAAAAAATCCTTTTGTGCAAATATAGTAGATAGAGCTCTTTATAGTTGAATTTTTCTTTTCGAAATTTAAGCATATTTTAATTCACTACTTTGTGTTGGGTATCTTAAATCAATTGGACTTATTTCAAAATAATTTTAAAGGCATCTTGTCTTTATCCGTAGATTTCTTTATTTTAAAACATTACAAAAAAAAAAACTTAAAAATTGTTTAGGGTGTATCTGACGACTGTGGCTACATTTTCACGTTTTCTAAGTCGATATTTTGTTTTTGTAAAGAACGTCAAATTGCCGTAAAGATTTTTTTAATGATTTTTCTCGAACTTAGACTTCTGAATTTAATCATGTATGGTTGAGTTGATGCGCCATTTTCTTGAACAGTCTGTATTTTACATGCATATACTACAGTGTATTATGTAAATAATACACTGTAGTACCATCGTTAGGAATGATGATAGACGTACAGGTGAAGATGTGTGTCAAGAAAACTGATTTTGAAAATGTGGGCATCAAAAATCAATTGTAATATACAATAAAATCTGTTTGCCATAAAAAATGCAGCTTTCCTAGTAAGCACAGCATAATATTACAAACAAATATAGGAATCCTGACGGTGTAACGGTGGAAGATTACGATATGTTTAAGAAAGTTTTTGGTGCAATAAGAGAACTTTTTTGGCACTACAATTTAAAATTAATTTGAAGCATATAGGGTGTTCCATTTAAAGTTGTATTTTTTTAAACAGAAAGAAATAAATAATTATATTAGACACAAGGGTTTGTAAACCAATAGTTTTTTGGACAGTTGCATTTTTATGTAAAAATTATCGTATTAAAAAATTCAAGGTTCCGTCATTTTTTAAAGAAGGAATGTTGAAATTTTACGTTTACAATAAAAAAGCAGAACTTATTGAACCAGGGTGATTGAATGTTCAAATTGTCCGTTTTCTCTTGTTTTTCAACTGGTACAGCCTACCACTTGTATCTATCTAGATAATCTTTCTTTTGGTATTAAATTTGTTGAAATTTATCTCAACATCAGTAATACTAAAAAATACCTATTAGGATAGGCAAGAAATAAGAAAGTACTTTAAGCACTTTACAGGTTTAAATGATAATAAAAATAATAACATTCATGTTGTTGAAAAATGCTTTCACCGTACAATAAATTAAAACCGTATCAGATTAGATTATTTTAGAGAAATGTAACCCTTACAATCTCGATTTTAAATTCAACTTGCATTGTAACATGCTTATATCGTCATCTAAGGGTGTGGGGACAAAAAATCTGCACAAATTTCAAACTAGAATAACTGTATTATAAAAGCAGGTATTAATAACGTGATCAACAACATTTATAAAAACAACTTTAAAGAACACAATCTGTACCATATCTACTTGCTTTAAGAATTTTTGTTTTAACACGGCGCATTAAATTTGTAAAAGCCGTTATTTTTGTTTGCCGTATTTTCAGCAGTATACGCTTCTTTAATTCTGCATGTGTCGAGGCTTCCCATCCATTTTCGTACACATTCCTCTTTAGGTTTCTCCAAAAACGTTCAATTGGGCGTAGTTGAGGTACGTTGGGAACATTTTTGTCCTTAGGGATAAAAGGAATGTTTAACTCATTATATGCAGCAATAACGTTAGCTGCGTAATGACCTGTTGCCATGTCTGGCCAAAATACAAAATTGCCATCCGAATGCTTTTCTCTTATAAAGCGGACAAGTCGAGACCTAATGCACTGTTTTTCATAAATATCTGCATTAACAGAATTTCCAGATGGGCAAATAAACGCAGTAGAATGTCCACGTGAAGAAATGGCCAACCAGACCAACAACTTGGACTGAAATTTTTTATGACGTTTGAATTTCACTTTATCATCTACTTCTTCTCCTTCCTTGCAATAGAAATGTTTATTGTTAGCAGTATCGCTACCATCAAAAGTGAAGTAGGATTCGTCATCGATGATTATTTCACTTCCATTTGAGGGGGAAAAAGCGGATTCAGAAAGATGCCTTAATTTTCGTTTCTGTTCCAACTTTTGTTTTTCTGAATATTTGGGGGCGGATTTTCGTGTTGCAAGTTTGACATTATTCTCCTTTAATATGTTGCTAACATACTTTTTGTCAATTTTAAATTTCCGTCCAATCTTTCTTAGTGAAACACCAAGTTTACCGTGACTTTGATTGACTAAGGCTTCTCTCTTCTTCTGGGACATTTTTCTTGCTGGTCTTCCGCTTCCTACTTGTCTTTCTACCGAATTCCCATTCTCTACTCTTCTGCAAATACTATAAGTTGTCTTTTTTGATATCCCCATTTGGAAGAAGTGATTAAGGGTGAATGACTTTTTTAAATGCATATGCCTTCTATAAAATTCGGCAATCACAGATCGGCGATCATTTTCATTTAAGTGTTCCATTATAAAAAAAAATATTGAAACTTTCAAGAGGAACTAGGCATAACAATTTTTAACAACTGTAAAAAAATGTTATAACGTCAACCGTCATTTTTCTCAAAGCTAACTCGATTTTCGGTGAATTAAAATTTGTGCAGATTTTTTGTCCCCACACCCTTAGTTTATGTGAACGATTTATTATCTGGTTTTCTCATCGTCTGCGGTACCCAACAGGTGATAATGACAACTTGATCGCTAAGGGGCAACCTAAGCGCAGTTTCAGTTGATTTTAAAATACAATGTTTTCTCACTAGTTCCATAAATACATTGTCTATTAAGTTAGCCGTATGCAGCAGCTATTATTTGAGGGTTTGATCTTTTCTATACTTTTAAATGTATTATTCATAAACGTAAATATCTTTTCAACACGTAATATAACGATTACAAAAATTAAAATGAGTAGAAATTTGTTTTCGTGATTATTACTAGACGCATTCCAGTATTACGCAATAATAAAAAACTGCCATAAATTAAAAATAAACACTATTTACTAGCTAGTTAATTCGTGAGAAAACTGACAATAACTGAAAATTACACAAAGTGTGGAACATACCCACAATACGGCTTAACCTTTTAATGTAATTTATTTTTAATTATTGTAACTCTTTGCTGTTAAAAACTGACTCTCTTTTTAGTTACTTTCTGAAACATATGATGTGTCGGTTTTTACATTTTTAACTACAGAAAAGTATTTATTATATCACATTGGAGAACAAATTTTTGCATACATGTTTGTGTCAACCAATATTCATTTGCAGTTAATGTAATTTTATGAATACCAATGGGACATCAAACAATTACAATATGTTACGGAATGCATATCGATAACATTTCTTGAAGAAATATATGTATATTTAATAAAATGGTTGATACAAATCCAGTAATTTAATTAACATTTAAGTTAAGTAGCATGGATAAAAAAGGCTCATTAAGTATAAAAACGGAAAAAAGAAAAATTCATTCATTTTACAAATCTGAGGTAAATATTGTGTTGACAATTTAATGCTATTTACAAAGAAAATTATCTGTAGAAAGTTTTATGTTAACTTAATGCAGTTTAATTAGGGTAATATCATAGATGAAACGATAACGCGCACGAAACATTTTTATTTAAATGTCAACGAT